CCCCCACTCGCACACGACTTTTGTCTGCCATACAAGTTAAATATCATGGTTGCGAGAAGCGTCCACAAGGCATGGCGGTAAACTTTCACAATGGTGTTAAGTTTTGATGCTGTTTATATTGATACTTTATAAGGGAGAGGCCGTCAACTGTTACCAACGTATCATAATCTAATACCAAAATAGTCGTCTGAGCTCTTCCGGGAATCAAAGTCTCGGTCAAGTTTCAAGGGACAGTGTGTAGGTTCGTTTATTAATTTAATGGTGAGCTGTTTCCGTCACACCCCCACCCGACACACACACACACACACCGTTGTTTACCTTAACACCTGTACTGTAGTTAGAGAAAACCTATCACCATTAACACGTGGCCGTCCACCCTGGCGGTAATACCAAGGTAGACAGACTTCAGCTCTTGTTCGCCTTGACAGTAATAAGAATCGGGATAAATTTGTTGTTTCTGCTTATCACTCTAAATTCTCGATTAATCTGAGCCTTTGAGGCACTCTGTGTGTGTGTGTGGCAACCAGCAGAGTTCGGACACTGAGTCTTGCGACACAGTTTCCTCCTGACCACAGTGGGTTAGGATGTATCACACTAGCTGCCTACACCACCCCACACCACACTTATGTTCCCGGTCTCAGCTAACTGTTGGTAGTAGCGTCTCTTATCCCCTTTTACAAGAATAAAACCTACGAATCAGGAAAAATTTACTTTCATTTCTTGATTGTTGACGTCATGCCTCCCACTTGAAGCTGTGTGATCTGTTTTTGTGTGTCTTTAAAGCTGGTTTTTGCTACATGTTGCCGATTGTTCACATTTCAACAGTTTTGATTAGAATACTGACGAGCAATATTGTCAACAAGTGTGACCCCAGGTGCTGAGTGAAACCAATCCGCCACAGTGAAATATACAAGATTAAATGAAGAAACAGAAGCCGTTATATGCACATGGTTCCCCGACTTATATTCAGGAAGTGTCGGCCAAGTTCAAGGGCACCAGTGACTTTCTTTCCTCCTTCCCACCCCCACCTGGGCAGCCGAGTATAGCTCATCACTCCCTCCCTCCCAAATACCTCACTAACACCCCTCCCTCCTCCACCTCAGTGCGTTGTAACTGTTAGACGTCTTAATATACAAGTTGATACCTCACTAACACCCCTCCCTCCTCCACCTCAGTGCGTTGTAACTGTTAGACGTCTTAATATACAAGTTGTAATGGACTGCTTCAGTTGACCATAAAGCATGAACCTACTTAACTTGTCACTGTACTGACCTGGCCTTCACCTCCAGTTCATGACTATACCTATATTAAATTTTACTGTTACCTTAATAAAAGCTGTTGGGTATAACATGATCCCTCTCCTCCTAGTGTCCACCACTCAGCCAGTTTTTAATCTATCATCACCTAACGTGTATCACTGTCTTGTCGTCCAAATACGGTCATGTTTAATAAGAAAATATACATACTTTCTGTGCAATAAAACGTGATAGAAAAATAGTTATTAAAAACTCTTCATCCGCATCAATGTCTCGTCATCCTCTACTCCCAGTATTTACTCAGTCAAGAACAGTCACAGTAAAAAAAAATCGAGAATAAAACTGCCACGAGTTAACCACACTTCTAGGGTTAACGTAAAGATTTGGGTTGACTTAAAAGTTACATTAAATTCTAGTTGCAGAAAAAGTGTGACAGATTTTCTTAGACATAGTTAAGGAGCTATGGTTGACCAGTACTACTTGCTATAAGCGTCGATAAAGCCAAGGTCAAACACTTGAATTATTAACCCCCTTCCCCTCCCCCCTCTCCACCCTGAAGCTCATGGGGGGTAAAGGGGTTGGGTCTGGGGGGTTAGAGGTAAAGGGATGAAAAGTGCACCTCTCCCCCTCTGCTTCTTTCTCCCTCTCTTCTTTTTTTTCTTCCTCCTTCGTATTTCCTTCTCCCTGCTTCTCATTCCCCCTTCTTCCTCTACAATTCCTTCTCCCTCCTTTTCACTTCCACCTCCGAGTTTGTCCTCCTCTCCTTTACAATCACCCCCTTCTCTTTTCTCTGTCTCCCCTCCCCCTCACACACAGAGTGACGCTGGTATCTGGGCAACACACTAAACATTACTGTACTGGAGGGTGGTGTGTGTCATATTGAGTGCGTGGAAAGAGGATCCTGAGCATGGGTAGTGTGTTGTTAGTAACGATGTAGTTCACTGCCTGTATACCCTTTGTTAACGAGTGAGAGCAAGAGTTGGCAAAATGGTCTTGTCAAAAATACCATGAATAGGGCAGTGAAACTATTGTTATTCCAACCTTATATAATTTAACCATACCTACCCAACGGTCGTTACACTAGATACGGTGACTGTCGTTGTAAAGGCCTGGCCTGTAGGATATAAATCCCTTGCCAGCCTAATCAGGATCTTATAAAAGGAAAGTCAAGAACCATGGGTTTCCAAGGGGTAACAAACAACCATTAGAGATTGACATCTCTTTACTACGAAAATAATGACAAAAAGTTTGCTCTGATATATATATATATATATATATATATATATATATATATATATATATATATATATATATATATATATATATATATATATATATATATATATATATATCAAAGAAGTCTGTCTGTTTGTCCTCACGAGAATCTCAAACTACTTTACCGATCTGTAGTGATGATGGATGGTGTTGATATGTAGTGATGATGGATGGTGTTATATGTAGTGATGATGGATGGTGTTATATGTAGTGATGATGGATGGTTATATGTAGTGATGATGATGGTGTTATATGTAGTGATGATAGACCCTCACGTTTGACTATAACCGCCATTCAGGCGATTAAAGGATTTAGTGAAACTTGTGACGTTGGACTCAAACATTATAATTTGGTCAAACCTGTTGGATACAATTCCTTTTAGTATTTCACATAAATCATACATAGGCAATCACATAAATGTCTAATCCAATATATATTTACATAACAATCATAGCTATGTAATCAGTCTAATCTTAACACTTATAATGAGTACTTAATTTTCCCTATTTTTATGTCGTCACAATGATAAACGAAGCAATGGACACAGTCTACCTGTGTACACAATAAGTACCAGTTAAACTTAAGTGTTGAAAGTCTCAAGAGAAATCAAGTTAGGTGTTGCCTCTGTGGTCTGAATAGCTACAGTGCCGATACACCATGCCACCTCCCAAACCCTCTCTCAATGGGTGAGGGCTGCTGAGTCAGGTGATTATACACAAACAAGCTCCCTTACTACCACCCAACACCTCACCTCCTCTGGGTCTCTCATCTCAACACTCCACATACTGTATACGGGCAGGCACACCCAATAAACATGACATGACTTACAGCCTAACATAGTGTCTGTTTATGTGTCATCCTACTCATTACTGCTTGCGGTAACAGTAGTGATGATGGGTGGTGTTATATGTAGTGATGATGGGTGGTGTTATATGTAGTGATGATGGGTGGTGTTATATGTAGTGATGATGGATGGTGTTATATGTAGTGATGATGGATGGTGTTATATGTAGTGATGATGGATGGTGTTATATGTAGTGATGATGGATGGTGTTATATGTAGTGATGATGGGTGTGTTATATAGTGATGATGGGTGGTGTTATATGTAGTGATGATGGATGGTGTTATATGGATGATGGATGGTGTTATATGTAGTGATGATGGATGGTGTTATATGTAGTGATGATGGATGGTGTTATATGTAGTGATGATGGATGGTGTTATATGTAGTGATGATGGGTGGTGTTATATGTAGTGATGATGGATGGTGTTATATGTAGTGATGATGGATGGTGTTATATGTAGTGATGATGGATGATATGATGAGTGTTATATGTAGTGATGATGGGTGGTTATATGTAGTGATGATGGATGATGTTATATGTAGTGATGATGGGTGGTGTTATATGTAGTGATGATGGATGGTGTTATATGTAGTGATGATGGATGATGTTATATGTAGTGATGATGGGTGGTGTTATATGTAGTGGTGATTAGACAATAAAATAATAACAGTTTAATGCTAAAAAAATATACTTTGCTGTACCATTGTAGTGAAAAACATGGTGGAACTTACATACACCGTTAATGAACTATTGATGGAAGAAGACGTTTTGGGGACTTAACAGTGAGACAATGTGGAGCCTCCCGGAGGGTGGCGTCCTACCGTTGCCTAGCGGATGAGCGGGCGGCGTTTCTGCTAGTATTAAATAAACAGCACTGGAGTCAAACAATTACTTAAAACAAAACAATTAATACAACAAAGTACAGGTATTTCCTACGGCTGCAGATGAATATTCCTCCTAACCAGCCCTGTAGAATGTTCTGGTGACGTTGTGGTCCGCTCTCAGGGGGAAGGTCCAGGGCAGCTTCCACACTTGGCGCAGGCATTGGTGGGCGATGTCTTGCCACACAGAAGAGACACCAGGGCACGAACGGTGGATAGGGCGTGGAGGAAGTGGCGATCACGTGGCAGCCGTGACAGTAGCTGGAGTAGGTGACCAGAGTTAACAGCCGAATAGTGAAGGACTGGGGAATCAGCCCACGAGTTCCAGGAACCTCAGATGAGTACACAACCAGAGTTGGAATCAAACAGCGTGGGAAATAACAGCTGTGGTGACGACTGGATCGTGTCTGGACGAGGCAGCAGCGACCTTCTCACCTCCATGTCCCCCCTTCCCCCTAGTGGGATCGCGAACAAGCAAACAAGCGGCGGACAACCATCATGGTCTTTACAGCTCTTACAGTCGTCTGCCGTAAAAAAAACAAAAACAGCCCTGTTCATTTTATTTTTGTAAGACTGCAGGCAGTGGACGACACAACCATCACCCAGACCTACCAGGCTGTAGTGCTGATAGATATGTCATAATGTTTTGGTAATCAGGCTGGGGTCCGTAGTGCCCACTTACCTGCAAACCGACAAACCATTTTCTCTCATTAACTTCTTCATATACATTGACAACTTTCAGGTACAATAGTGAAACAATTGTGAATTCTACAGAAAGTCAATGTTGTAAGTTTCTCTTGTATTACTTTGATCGGAACAACTGCCATCACAAAGACTGTGAATAAGAGGAATTATCAACAGTTATCAAGCAAGAGTTGTTATCCACCGGTGGATTTTGTGGTAGTGTGGTGTGGTGTGAGGTGGTTGAGGTGTAGAACTTGGTGTGTGTTGCTCACCTCTCTCACTCACTCTCCAGGATGGTCATTCCCATTGAGACGTTGAGCAGGGTGAGTCTTTATGTTTATGTATACTATTGATACCATTAGACTCTAGTATAGTATAATTCCACTGTTTTTTACCTAGTGTGGTGTTTAGCTACAAGGCACAAGAGGACTCTGAAACTGGTGATCAAGGGAGGTGGGGGGGGGGGCTCACCTAGCTTGATATACTCCAATGATCCAGTTTGCTGCAACGGATGTACAGTATATGTTGAGGTTGTGTTCTTATTATTTCTGTTATCAGATGAATGCAAATTTTGTTCCAGGAGAAAATTGAACTACATGTTTGCCTGTTGACCGAGACATAGCCCTCTCCAGTGTCTTGTGTCACTACTGTAGTTGGGATAATGTAGCATCTTAATCTTGGTAAGAATGAGGGGCTCAGTAGTAAAGTGAAGTCTACAAGATCACCACAACTTTTACCTCCAATTTCCCCACCGAGTTTTATTAATCATCTAAATTCGTTTTTAACTACAGTACAGTATCTAAGTTGTGAGAAAGAAAATATCATGTTGCCATGAACACCATTCCCAGACATTTATGACTCCATTACTTGAGGCTATGAACTCACCTAGTAAAAATAGACAGATTATTGCATTGTTTGTTAAAAGCGATTTTTAATGTGGTTACATAGACTTTGTCCCAAGGAACATGAATCCTAAGGTACCCCAAAAATCTGATTGCAAATAAGGTTACCCACTTGACTTTTGGAGGCCATTCAAGGTCATATTATGTGAAACTGAATCAACGATTATTATGAAAGGTATTATTATTATTATTATTATTATTATTATTATTATTATTATTATTATTATTATTATTATTATTGTTATTATTATTATTATTATTATTATTATTATTATTATTATTATTATTATTATTATTATTATTATTATTATTATTATTACTATTATTATTATTATTAAGGGAGCTAACCTGACCCAGTCTAGTCAAACTTAACCCAGTGGACTTCATTTGTAAGTCTGTAGTATTCATTATATTAATATTCATTTAATGCTGTAAAGTACAGTCAAGCAAAGAGTCATGTTTATTAAGGACGGACATACTCAAGAGTTCAAGATATACTCAAGGAGTTTAAATATTTTACTCAAGGGGTCAAGATATTGTACTCAAGGGGTCAAGATATTGTACTCAAGGGGTCAAGATATTGTACTCAAGGGGTCAAGATATTGTACTCAAGGGGTCAAGATATTGTACTCAAGGGGTCAAGATATTGTACTCAAGGGGTTCAGAGCTGTGATGATGATTATTTTTTTATAAAAACAACAGAAGTTAGATTTTTTGTTAAGTATTTGTCATTTTTATTCTTATTACTGTTGTTTTTGTTATATACCAGTACAGTACAGGTGGTACTGTACATCATTATAAGTTTTTATATTTCACAGACTTGCAACATTTTAAAAAAACTACTCTACATGTACTGTTAAGTGAATTATTAATTACAAGTGATCATTAGTGAGTGTATTTTTACTTTCTGAAATCTTACTTGCTGATAATGGCAATTTTCTCCTATTTCAGGGTTGGGTCGGGAAACCAAAAATGAAAAGAGGATCATCTGGCTTGCATAAATTCTGGCTTCTCTTGTGGAAGAACTGGATACTTCAGCGTCGAAGGAAGGTTTGTACAATACTGTAGCTACAGATTTTATTACCTTGTTAGTACTGTAGTGACTGTATTCTTTAATTTTGTTTGTGAATTATTTTTGTCTCGTGTCTGTGTGTGTGTGTGTGCGTGCATGCATGTGTGTGTGTGTGTGTGTGCGCATGTGCGTGCCAAGAAAGGTGTCACTCAGAGCCTCAGACAGACATTTCCATAACCTAATACAGTCTGTCCCCGACTTACGTCGGGGTTAGGGACCGACAACCAGGTCGTAAGTCAAAAATGCCAAAATAATACATAGAAATCTAAAATTAAATACAGTACAGTAAATGTAATCAATAATGAAGAATGGATGCAGTGTGACTGTGCACTTACCTTTGATGTAGTCAGCTGAATGCACACGGGGCCCCCATAATTTTTTAATTAAACATGGAGACTACATTAAGTGGATGAAGCAGAGAAGGAGACAGGGCTGGGTGGGTCATCAATTTCGCTTTCTTCAGACAGGCTAACATACTTTCTTGTTGAAAGTACAGTATTGGATCATCTTTAGGGAGTGAAGAGGCAGCACTGGTGGGGCGTGAGGAGACAGCAGTGGGGGACTCCTTAAAATATATGTCCACTTTAAACTGCACAGTTTGCTTTTTCTTTTCATTATAAATCTCCCTGTAGCAAGCAAGTGCATCTTGGATCATTTTTTCAACTTTTGCAAAACGCTCAACATTTTGATCCATTTCATCAAACATTTGCATCCCCTTATTAATTGTAGCAAATGCCTCTGCCATTTGTTTCTTCTGAGCACCACCAGAACTCTCGCTTTTAATCTTGCCAGTCATTTTAAAGGGAATTAGAACCGAAAATGTTGATCAATTGAACCTGCGGAGTAGCGCGTAAAACGAGAAACGCGTAAATGGAATAACAGAACATATGGGATTAATTGAAATAGAGACTGGGCCAACTCCCAAACTCCACTTTTTCCGACACAATACCTACGTTGTAGTAAAATTAACATCTTAATTTTATGATGGTATGCACACACAATTAATATTTATTAGAAATACAGTCGCCAGGTTAATGTCCATTCAAATAATGTTCTCAATTTCTTCTCACTGGCTCCTCCCTCTCTGAGAAATGTTTGGGGGAAAACATAGATTTTAAGGTATATAGCAATAAATAATACCTCAGACTAAAGTTAGAATAATATAATTGACATTGCTGGACTCCTTGCAAGACCAGGAATATTTTGAATATAAACATCATATATTTTGCACAAAAGATAAAATTTTGGCTCTGTAATCAAAATCCTTACATTAGATCTAAAATTTGTATGTCTAATGCAAATTCCTTGATGTTTATATTCAAAAGAATCACAATCTTACAAGAATTCCAGCAATGTAAATTATATTCTGGCCGGGTAATTTGTATGACTTTTATGAGCTGAAACAAATATCTTCAGTAAATAAAAAAATATACTTCACCCAGACATTATCTGTCAATCAAAATACCCCACCTCCAGCTCCCCCCCTCTTCCCATGCTCGCTGGGTCCCTCCCTCCCTACCCCCCACCCCCCACCTTCCCTCCCTACCAGAGAAATGTTTGGGTTAAAACAGTATATTTACATTTTTAGTAATAAATAATACCTCAGACTAAAGTTAGGATAATATAATTGACATTGCTGGATTCCCCGCAAGATCAGGAATATTTTGAATATAAACGTCATATATTTTGCACAAAAGATAAATTGTTGGCTCTTTGTAATCAAAATTCTTACCATAGATCTAAAATTTGTATGTCTAATGCAAATTCCATGATGTTTATATCCAAAATAATCAATCTTACAAGAATTCCAGCAATGCAAATTATATTCTGGCCCGATAATTTGTATGAATTTTATGAGCTAAAACAAATATCTTTAGTAAATAAACAAATTATACTTCACCCGCGTAAATGAGTAAATTCACCGCGTAAATCGGGTATCCCGGTTCTGGCGAGGTACCGCGTAAATGACCAAACGCGTAAACCGAGGTATTACTGTACAACACGAGGCGACCCAGCCCACGCCACGCTCTCGTACGGGACGGAAACGTTTCGGTACTAGAAAATACGTACGTAATTTGAAAATTTTTTGGTACGACTGCGGCTATTGTATGTCCGGGTGGTCGTATGTCGAGTAGGTCGTAAGTCGAGGAGTACCTGTACTGTATTACTGAGCTAGCACAGGTGTATACAGTACAGTACAACCATATCAGTGATGAAGTAGAAGTCATTTGTAAAATAATTTCAGTTCACAATGGGTCCTTTTTAATCTTATTTTGCTCCCTTTTTAATGTTTGTCTCAGCTGTATGGATCATAGTAGCTACAGTAACTGCACAGTATTATTATTATCACAGACAGGATATAATGTCTCACACAATGGCTGATGCTGTGACTTGATTCATAACTGTCACTTTAGGGTGTGATGCTGTGGGTCATCTCTGCCCCTCAGTCCTCCATAACAGTAACATACAGTACAGTATTTAAAGTAAGGTTTTAACTTTGCTACAGATTCAGACACTGGTTGAGGTGCTCCTGCCTGTGGTGTTCTGCGTCCTCCTGGTTGTCATCCGGGACCTGGCGCCCTATGGTATCTTCCTCCAACCCACTTACTACAAGCCGTTTGAAGTTTCTCAATTGCCTGCAAATTTAACGTGAGTTTCTTCAGTAGAACAAATTATTATTATGGCTGTACATGAAACATAGACAGGAACATCATGAGTCCTGTAATAAATTACATTTACTGGTACTTGTATATGTGTTTCAAAAAGATTTACACTGGTGGGGATACTCAGGTACTGTATTATTGTGTAATTTTTTGTTTTATTACTGTTATGAAATATAAGGTTTGAAGTTTTATCTGCTCATTGTTTCATCATCAGTTCATTGAAGATGTGATATTTGTATTATTATCTAAATAAAAGTACAGTACAGTACAAGGTGAGAAGTCTCACATTACTTTGAGCAGCTAATTGCTCAGAGCCATTCTGAAATCCATGTACTGTACTGTATTATTGACTGTAACTAATACAATCAAATTATGTTTTCAGGCCAAATGATAATGGTGGATTCTTTAGTGAGTGGGCACAGCAGATATTTAGTGATGACTCATCAGAGCGGCGGAGGAGGTCATTAAGCGCTTCAGAATCTCAGGGTCTACCACATCTGTCAGACTTACATAATTCTCCTTTTTCAACTCATTATCAGTACAAAAAATATTTAGATAAACAAAAAAAATCAAAGCACAGAAGGAAAAGATTCTTGGATTTTTTTAATATATTTGGTAAGTACAGTACAGTATATACAGTACCTGTAATACTGTACAAAGACTACAGTACTGATGTAGTGTATAAGCAGGCGATATAGTGACATATGAAATGCTGTACTGACAACTGAAATGAAGACCTCGTTTCTAGAATTCTAATCAGTCACTCAATTTTCATCTGCAGATCCTATGTGGCCAATAGCTTACTCCCCAAACAACACAGTCATAACCAAGTTGATGGAATTAGTATCTACCAGACTGAATATTGATGAGAGAGGTAAGTTGTTACCAGAAGCTCAAGAAATACCCATTAGTACAGTATTTAAAGCTTACATTATTTATGTAAAAGTACACATGTACAGTACACTGGCTCCAAAAGCTACTTTTTGGAATACATGTACAGTATATGTAGAGATTACTAACACAGTTTCTTTAGTAGCCACGACTTGCCTGTACAGTGCAGTACTCTACAAGGTTTTTACATGCTTCTCATTTTTTGTACTGTACACTGTACATATGAGGAAGTGCACTTAATGGATCAGTCTCAATATTTTACATTAACTCATGACTGTAGACTCTCTAGTTTTACTCTTCTTATTTCTAAACCCTCTCTTGCGGGGACATAGATACTCCCAAGAACTGTGTCAGAATTTTGGCCTCCTGGGAGATGTATTTATGGCCAAACTATTAACTCTCAGTTGTTTTTGACAGGGCTAGGATTCGCAAATGAGGAAGACCTGGTGGATCGTCTCACCACATTTACCAAGGAGGAGGAAAATGAAGAAGTGGAAGATATTCTTGGAGGGATTGTGTTTACTAATGAATTTCCCAAGGATGATGTTCTTCCAGAAAATATACAAGTGAGTTATAGTGAGGTACTACTGTATGACACTCCAGTGAACGTATCAATGGTAATATATATACTGTATGGTACAGTCTCACCCAAAAGTTTGTTAACTCTCCCAGCCAGCTATTGCTGCACTGCCTGCTTCAGATGTATGAACTTGAGTCTGTTACTGTACCTCGAACCTTTAGATTCATTTGAATAGGTTTCATGTTCTGTTTGGTACTGAGACAATTTCAAACATCTGAAGCAGGCAGTGCAGCAATACCTGGCTGGGAGAGTTCGCGAACTTTTTGGTGAGACTGTACCAATTGACTTTTTTATGATCCCACTACATATGTACAGTATATGGGAAGCACCTGTCAGGACCTCCTTCCATTTCATACAGTATATAATGTACACATGCCCATATCTCCATCCCATACAAGTACCCCTTTTAATAATCATAATAACCTTATATGTTTTCAATAATTTGGATTGATTTTTCATTTTCTCTTATTTGTTTTGCATGGTTCCTGGAAGTATATATTGTATGGTTTACAAACTTTGTAAGAGTTTATAATTGTGGTATTGAGTGGTTTTTGGAGAAGGAAGTGAGGTGGTACTTTAGGTAAGAGGAAGGATGTGGGATAAGGGTGAGGATGGGTATGTGGGTTGGGTCATCGTACAAAAGGAGAGAAGATATTTCTGTTTGTGGCCTCACTTGACTTTTCTTGCACAGCTTCCATCTTGACATCACCTGGTGGTCTACTGCTGCTGTAATAGGAGTACAGTACACCTTTATTCTTGTCTTTATGATTCATGGTTAGAAAATGGGAACTAATCTTTAACAGATTTTGTAGACACTAAATTTAAACCAAGAAAAGTTTTATTAAGATAAAAAAGAATTGGACAAGATGATAAACAAGGACACTATTAACACAGTCACTGTCAAACACAGTGCAGTAATCTTCACTATACCAATATCTGCTGAAGAAAAGTTTGTCTGATTTTTTTTATTCATGGAAAGTGATGTTAAAAAGAAGACAAGCATTTAACAGTCCCACACGTCATTTGCAAGTCCTTTGCCCTTATTAAAATGGGCTTTTGTCATCAAGTCAGCTGGATGCTGATGCTATCCTCTTGCAAACTAAATATTTTCTGTTGTTTTTGTGTGTGCTGTTGCACTTGTCTTGACATTTACACTCACAAAGAGCACTGAGGTTTTTAAGTAGAGCCAGTATTTTAAATGCTGAATTATTGAGGTGACTGTGTACCTTTATGAGTAAAAATGCTTTGAAAGGTGAAAGAAGACATTCATATTCATGTTTGTTTTTCAGTACAAAATCCGTCTCAAGGGCTCTTTACGGAGTTTTACGAAGAGGAATCCATTTCTTCCACCACCTCAATGGTACACTGAACTCTCTTATCCTCTTTACCAAGTTCCTGGTCCTCGTGACAGAACAAATAATCACGGTGGAAGACCAGGTCAGTTAGTGTACAGTACAGTAGTCACACATGCCCAGTACTTGTGTGTGTTCCTTATATGTTCTGTTGATAAAGTTTCAATTAATCTTTTGACACAAGTTATAATATTCCATTTCGTGTGCAATATAATGCAGGTACAGTATACTGTACCAGACATGTGGGATATTAATAACTCGTGATTTGATATACGAACAAAAACTTAAAGTCACAATTTTTTTCTCACTATGTTTATAATTTTTTCCATAGTATGCTAGAATAATGCAGTTTTTTTACTCCCAGTTTGCTTATATGTTTCACTAACTTATTTACTCTTTCTCTTACACTCATAATGTGTCATCATTCTCCTACAATCACCATATCACAATGTGTCATCATTCTCCTACAATCACCATATCACAATGTGTCATCATTCTCCTTCAATCACCATATCACAATGTGTCATCATTCTCCTTCAATCACCATATCACAATGTGTCATCATTCTCCTTCAATCACCATATAACTTACTCCTCAAACTCAGGTAAACTCAAGTGCAGTAATCATTCCATATAATGAAATAAAGTTTGCTGTCTAATTCTGCAAAAGGGAAGATTCCATTAAGTTAAATACAATTATACCCCTGGCACATATCCCTAACTATATTATTAAGCAGAAAATTGGCTACACAAGTGACAGCAGATTGATGAGTACCATAGTTTCTCTAAGCCTTTGTATAACACTTTATAAGGATCAGTGTTTTTCTTTGTTCTGAAAAAATATGGGAACAAAAAATATGGAATTAAATACAGTATATATATCAAGGAGGAAATTTTCACTTATATCCTTAAATCCACTTACCAAATACTGTACTGTAATGAACCTGTTCTTTACTTTAATATCACTTTCTTGCAGGTTACTACACTGAAGGATTTTTGGCTCTTCAGCATGCAGTTGATATGGCCATTGCAGAATATTTTACTGGTACAAACCCTGATGGTAAGTACAGTACTGTATCAGTACTGTATATACGTAGTGTTTTCTTACATAAATAATTAGTATCATGGTTACCCATCTGACTTATGTCTCTAGTTTATTTTAATTTATTAAGTTTTAATAGAAGGTAAATTAATATCAAATATACAGGGGGACCCCGACTTATGAGCGTCAGACTTACGAATGTCCACCGATATGAACGGGGTTAAACTTCAAATTTACAGTTTTATATTTACCTGATGACTTATTTTTTACTTTCATTTACTATATTTTGTCATTCTATTTCTTCTTTTGTCTTAAATTAAGTGATTTTAGATGTATATAAGGACTTAGGCCATGATATTGTGGGATTTTAAACATTGTTCTTTAAGTACAGTATGCACACAGTATGTGTTCCGACTTACATACAAATCAGACTTAAGAATGTCCTCAGGAACGGAACCCACTCATAACCCGGGGACCCCTTGTAAAATCATTTAAATTTATACCCCATTAGTACAGGTCTTAAGTCGTACCTCACAAATCCACATTACATTACAGTCATCCCTTGGTTATAGCGCACTTGGTTATCGCGATTTTCGTTATCACACTTGCTGTTATAGCGCATTTTTCAGGCCGAGAATTTAGTTATTACGCAGTTGCCTCCAGGTGTATTGTTACCCCCTTGCTTCACCTACATCTTTTGAGGATAAAATCTTTCACCTACAAATTGACAATAACACATTTGCTGGATTAAAATGGATGTGGGTAACAAAATAAGAAAGCGGTTGTACAAACACAAGCACTCACACATGCCACTCATACTGACAGACTTGACACTCACTTACTTGACAAGTTTTACCAACCATAAAGACAGTTGAAGCTTTCAACATCACTCACAATGGATCTTGAATGTTCCAACTGTAATCAGACATATCTAAGTTGCCTCAACAATTGCAACCCCAAAGCGATGAGAAAACGGACTCCTCAGATGGGGGACTCAAATAAAGAAAGCATAGCTACATGTTTTGTGGGCTATTGAGCGTAATATAAATTGTCTGATTTTACGTTGACTGACGTGTATGACTGTGGTCATTACAAAGCTTTCACCTCCCAAAGATTCATATTATGCGGTATAGTCAACAAAACATTTACGGTAATTACATAATCTTTCAAAACAAAACATACTGAAATACTTGGTTAATTGTCAACAATACAGCCAACATACATATTAAAAAATTTTCCCATACATAAAAATTTGCACATCAAAGAAATAAAGTTACAAAACTTCCAGACATGGGTAAATGAAATTAATAAAGCAATACTTGCCATGGACACACAGAAGACCATAATCATATATCAATATTACAGAACATAATAATAAAAATAGGCTTCCCTCAGGACCTTATTGTACCCTTTTCTTCACTTTGTAATAAACCTAGCCATGCCTATGTGTGTTTCAGATACTTACCATAACATTATCTATATCTTTAGTGGGTCTAAATGGTCGTAAAATGGGAAAATTGGGGTTGGGTCTTGGGTGCCTGGAACCAATTAGAATAAATCCCATAGGTTCTGTACTTTCGTTATCACGTTTTTCGTTATCACACACTCGGCGCGGTCCCAATTAGGCATGATAACCAAGGGATGACTGTACTGTTCTTGGACCCAAACAGAATTGATACTGTATTGTACAGTTAACCCTCACTTTACGCGGTTAATGTAACCCGGAGGGTACCGCGGAAAGTGAGGAACGCGTAAAGTGAATAACATAACATATGGGATTAATTGAAATAGAGTCCAGGCCGACCCCCAAACTCCACTTTTTGACGACACACAACTATGTTGTAGTAAAAATATTATCTTTACTTTATGATGGCATGCACACACAATTAATAATTAAGAGAAATATCAATAATATTAGGTTTTTTAACACTTACATTAGTAGAAAAGATGGCTGGGCACACGGGAATGGGCGGTTGGTTCCGAGGCAGAGGGCAGATTATTGGCCCTCACCTGTATCACTGGTATCAATTGTATCACTATCCACCACAGAGGCTTGCAGGGCCTCTTTGTCAAACCCCCCAAAGTTCATATAAGTCCATATCCTCACTATAATTATCACTATCACTGACTTGGGCCGGCTGTAGTGGGTGGCGGGTGAAGAACTGGTAATGTTTTGATGACTGGGCGACCTTGTGCGCACCATTTTCGCGCCTCTTACACAACATGGCGGATGGCGGGAGGTTTGGATCCAAAAATGGCGCGGCTGGCCAGCCGCTCTCCGCGTAATGGGGTACACGCACCGCGGAATGTGAGCATGTTAGGTTCCGGCAGGGCACCGCGTTAACGGTGAACCGCGGAATGCGGGACCGCGTAATGTGAGGGTTGACTGTATTGTAGAAAAATGCAGGTTTTGGATGTGTGTTTTTGTAGGTCCAGTTTGAATGTTATAAATGTACAGGATAATACATTACAGTCATGCGCCGAACAACGTTCGATCACATATACGTCCGTGCCCCCCCCCAAAAAGTGACGCCTGCTGGACCACCACTCCATGACCCCCTGACGGAGACATGATCATCCTCCCCATACTGGTCAGATATTATGTGTTAAAGGAATATGCTTCCTTAGGCTTTTTTTAAGTATTTGCCTACAGGTGAAATGTTAACCTTCATCTATTGAGGATAAAATCTTTCACCTACAAATTGACAATAACACATTTGCTGTAATCAGACATATCTAGTTGCCTCAACAATTGCAACCCCAGTTGCAATTGGGGTTGCAATTTCAAATTCTGTGGCATTACTATAAATAGAAAAGTTTCTGGTGCACTCTAAGATTAAGAGAGAAAACGGAGGACTCAGGCGTCCTGATGTGAGAGAAAACGGACTCTTATGACGGGGGACCAAATAAAAAAAGCATAGCTACATGTTTTGTGGACTACAGTATTAAGTGTACCCTTTTCATCACTTTGTAATAAACCTAGCCATGCCTATGTGTGTTTATGATATTTACCATAACATTATATATATATTTAGTGGGTATAAATGGTCGTAAAATGGGAAACTTGGGGTTGGGTCTTGGGTAAATGAACCAATTAGAATAAATCCCATAGGTTCTGTACTTTGTTATCGGTGGGGTCCCAATTAGGCGCGATAACCAAGGGATGACTGTACTGTACTGTATATACTTGTGACACTGGCCAGTTGCTTCTGGTGTTATGGTACAGGGGTACCAAGTGACAGCACTAGGATCCCGCTTCCTCTATCGAGGAATAAACCATTAAAATTTAAATTGAAAAAAAAACAAAAAAACATTCAAATAAATTACTATCTTACAAGATTCCCTCCAATGTAAGTTATATTCACCCAGGTCGTTTGGGTGGAAAATTAGGAGAAGAGCTTAGTCACTCTTAAGTAATGATAAATAGACATGCAGGCAGGCCTTCAGCGCCAACTGTCAAATCTTATCTTAAATAAATAAACAAACAAACGCCAGACATTCTGGTCCCCCCCCCCCCTCCCACCACCCTCGTGTTCAAGATAAAAGATTGGTGATTTCTTTATGTTTATTTTATATAATATCTCAGATTAAAGTTAGGATAATATAATTTGCATTGCTGAAATCCTTCCAAGACAGAGATTAATTTGAATAGAAGCATCATATATTTTGCTCAAGATATAAAAAATGTAGTACATTAGTGTACAATACTGTAGTACATTTTATAAAAAAATTTTCAACTGTATTTTTGGGTAGATTTACATAAATTTCTTCATTTATTTTCATCCATTTATATGCACACACCATACTAGAAGAAACATAAAATAAATTAGTGCAAAGCTGGAGTGCACATGTACTAATTTGATTACGGTACTAAAATTGTTATGTCTAGTGCGAATTACAACATGTTTATATTCAAATAAATCAGTATCCTACAAGAATCCCAGCTATGTTAATTATATTTTCCTAGGTCATATCACTGGCATTTTAAAATGAGAGAAGCTTAGTAGGACTGTTAAATAAACACACAGAGACCTTCGGCTCAAACTTATCACCTCAACCCCCGACCCTCCCCCCAACCCCTCGCTGGGTGGCGGAGCCGTCAGTCCCTCCCCCCCCAGCCAGGCTTTTAGGCTTACAGTTTTTATCTTATATAATATCTCAGACTAAAGTTAGGAGATTATAATTTGCATTGCTGGAATCCTTGCAAGACAGCCAATAATTTGAATATAAACGTCATATATTTTGCTCAAGAGATAAAAATTGTTGTACATTAGTGTACAGTACTGTAGTACCTTTTATAAAAAAGTTTTTCAACTGTATTTTTGGGTAGATTTACATAGATTTCTTCATTTATTTTCACCCATTTACATGCACACACCATACTAAAAGAAACGTAATAGAAATAAATGACCTTAGTGCAAAGCTGGAGTGCACATGTACTAATTTGATTACGGTACTAAAATTGTTTTGTCTAGTGCAATTTATAGCATGTTTATATTCAAATTAATTAGTATGTTACAAGAATCCCAGCTATGTTAATTATATTCACCCAGGTCATTTCACTGGCTTTTTATAAGAGAGAAGCTTAGTCACCTAAGAACTGATAAATATACACGCGTTAGACCTGGGCCTGTGCCAACTGTCAAATGTACTACCTCCCCTCCCCCCACGCCCCCTCTCTCTCCCATCTGCTCGGCATTGCTGGAATCCTTGTAAAACAGTGAATAATTTTAATATAAACGTCATGTATTTTGCACAAGAGATAAAAATTAATCACCTCTATCACATTACAGTAGTGATTTAACAGTAAAAGTGTATATGTACGTATATAGTATTCCACATACACATAAGTATAAATAAAATGTTTATGTGATGATTGGACAATGTCCATTTCGGTTAACGTCACGTTTCCAAGAACGTATCTAGGACGTTAACCGGCGCATGACTGTAGTTGTACTCAGATAATACATTATAGGATATAAGATAAGTATCTTTCTATATCTTTACACAAGTACTGTATTCTAATATTTGTAACTTTTTTTTAATACGAAGGTAAGATTTTTTTTCCGTTCTCATTTGATGTTGCCAGGTAATCATCTTTTATGTTTTTGGCTAAAAGATGACATCTTGAGACAAGAAGGCTAATGAAATGAATGGTCTAAAATAATGCTCTGGTATGGTTTCAGTCATTATTGTAATATCTGTGAGTGTTCTTGCACCATTGTTCATTATTCATTGTAAAATGTACATGGTCATCAAAATTTTTTGGAAAAAGAAAACTTCTTAAGCACACAGTTAGGTGGAGTAGGAAGGGTGTGATTATGTCTGTCCTGGTGGACTTAGTGCTCTCATGTGGAGGCTTATTATATATTTTCTTTACAGTACATTATGTTGTAGAAATGCAGAGAATGCCATATCCTCCCTTCATAGACGACAAGTATCTGGTGGCATTACAGGCATGGCTGCCATTTGTCCTTCTTCTCTCATACATATATCCTGCCATCAACATTGTCAAAAGTGTTGTATATGAGAAAGAGAAAAAACTTAAGGTAAAGTCTTACATTTCGTTTCCTTTTGGTTGAAGGGTTTTCTTAATTTTCCTGATTTTAATTCCTCTTAGGTGTCCAAAATTCTGTAGTATTAGTCAAAACTTCTGGCAAAATAAATTCCTTCATTTGCATGTTTTTGCAATTTCATAAAAATTACGTATTTCCTCTTAACCCTATCGTGGTCTTTTGACACATATGCGTCGCTAAGCGCTCACATGCTGGTAATCTGCATCGAAAGACTGTGAGAGGGTTATAAATGGCACTCTTTGTGCCGAAAGACGACAATAGGTTAAGATTTCCAACCACCGCCAAGAGTACCAGAGGGTTAATGCACCTTTTTTGCTTACCGGTATTTCATTACTGGCTAGTATCATTTTTGCTCTTAGGAGAACCCCAAAGGTTTCTCTTTGATGAAGGCCAAGCAACCAAGAAATAATATGTTGTTTTGTTCACATTTCCTCTCTGAAAGGAGGTGAAGTTGGAGTTTGAATTTTTTTATGAATAGAAAAACATCTCGCTTCAGCTCATACTGTACTGTATTCCGTATATCCTGTGTTTTAAATACAGTATTTTAATTTCTTATATTACCTATACAGTACAGTATATGAATTAGATGTTTATACATTATTGTGAAAGGATTCATATTGCAACTAATTTTGAAATCATAAAATTTTCAGGAGTCGATGAAGATGATGGGTCTTCAGAACTGGCTACACTGGCTGGCCTGGTTTACTAAGACCTTCATGTTCCTGGCCACATCTACTGTGTTTATCACCATCCTTCTGTGTACTCACTGGTAACTCGCTCTTAGATTACTGTTGTATAAAGGACTATTACAGGTGCTCCTTACGAACAAGTTATGTTCCTGAGGCTTGTTTGTAAGTCCAATTGTTTGTATGTCCAACTTTACTCCTGTAGATACCAAACATATTGTAAAAAAATAAAAAGATTATGGATATTTAATACAGCTATACCCTTTAATACAGCCTTAAAACCTGGCTCACTCTTCTCCTCTTAGGTAATGTTTGTTCTATCTGGAATTTTCTTCAAAATAATCCAGTCTCATCCACATTAAACACCTGTTCTGGCAGGTAACCCCCCTCAGTGATGATGTTTGTATCTCTGAAAGTTTGTAAGTTGAATGTTCTTAAGTAGAGGAGCACCTGTATATGTTTATGAATACTGTATATAGATGTGTGTGTACTGTAACTATTAATATAAGGAGATACTGTATACAATAATGAATATTTTAACAATAATCATCTTTAACTGGGTGATTATGTTGTATGACAAGTTGTAGAAAATAGTATAACTTGTCTCATCACAGGCACGGACCAGGGAGCTTGGCAGTATTGAGTGAGAGCGACCCTACCCTCGTGTTCGTGTTTCTTCTCCTCTATACAACTTGTTCCGTGTGCTTCTGCTTCTTCCTGTCTACGCTCTTCTCAAAAGGTAATGTAAAGTTTACCAAAAGGATAACTTGCCTTCATTTATATATTATACAGTACAGTATGTAAAATTAGAGACATTTAGTTTCAGTATGCAAAAAAAAAAATACTGTATATATATATAAATTATTATTGGCTCAAATCTTAAGGTATTTTGTAAGTTGATAAACTTTAACTCTTCTTGTTTATCTTCAGCTTGTGGTTCAAGCTCCTCTATTATTGGGACATTTGGTGTTCTTAATATTGTTACTCAGGTATAAATTGATGTAACATTAGCAATAGAAAAATGAATTGTAGTTATTTATATATATCTAGAAAAAACAAGACTTTTGATTAATATGAAATTTTCTGTTGTTTACTTACATGCAGCTAACAGTGCAGCAGCAGTAACTGGCCTCATATGGTTCTTCACATACGTGCCATACATGATCCTACGACCGCGTTACTCCAGCCTTACAATGACCAGCAAGATCATGCTGTGTCTTCTCTCTAACACTGCCATGAGTCTTGGGTGTCAATTGACCTCCATGTTTGAAGGTGTAGGCTCAGGGATACAGTGGGATCTCCTCTTCACAGGAGTCTCACCTGATGACTCCTTTACCCTGGGTCATGTGTTTGGTATGTTCATCCTAGACATCATCATCTTCTTGCTGCTGACCTGGTATATTGAAGCTGTGTGGCCAGGGGAGTTTGGGGTACCTAAGCCCTGGTATTTTCCCTTCATGGTACGTAGGGAAATTATTTACTTACTATTCTCTAAGAATATTAGTGATGAATGGTCTTTTTTTTGTAAGTCAGAAGAAAATTTGATGCAAGTGGATTGTAGAAGTAGAGTTTAGTGGCTGAGTTGGCAGGTGAGTGTGGTGTGTGGTGGCTGTCTGTGGTGATGTATCGGCCAGGTGTATTTCTTAGTGGTATGGAGGCAGAGAGACTGAACCAGGAAATTTCTTAAGATGATCTGCATGCATAAAGGTCACCTAATATAACCCTGAAGGAGCACTCCAATATATGTGCATTGACAGCACTGTTTCCAATGTTCCAGGCAGATTCCAACAAGAAAATACCGACTATAAACAAGATGTGGAATATTATGCACTGAGGGTATTGTCTTATTGAACCAATACTTAACTCAACCATAAACAGTTCTAGCCACCTCCTTATCATGGGGGACTTGAACTATGGCGACATCGACAGGAGAAACGAGTTCACCCCCAAATGACTTGAATAACCCTGCTACTCTTTTTGTAGAAACTCTGAGAGATAATTTTCTGTTCCAACATGTTAGAGACCCGACACATTACAGAGGGAGCAAACACCCAAGCCACTAGACCTCATCATAACAAACGAGGAGGGTATGGTGGCCAAACTGGAACACCTTTCCCCAGTTGGCACCAGTCAACATATAGTGTTGTCATTCAGATTTAACTGTTATCTAGTTCAAGATAAGGCCAGGCCAAGGTGCAAATATTACAAGGGAAATTACAACGGGATGAGGGAAGAGATGAGGGGTATCCACTGGCCTGACTCATTAAGGCACAAGAACGCAGCCACAACGCTGAATATCATAACTAGTAAAGTGACCCATTTGATCGATAAAAATATCCCCAAGACCAAACCCAGTGCCTCTAGGAATACAAGGGGATCCTTATACATGAACCATGCAGCGGTCGACAAAGTTAAGAAGAAAACCCAGAAATTCAAGACGTGGGTTGGGTCAAATGATGAGCAAGACAGGAGGATGTATGCAAGAGCCAGAAACCAAGCAAAGGCAGACTGTAGAAGGGCTGAAAAGGAGTTCCAGAGGCTGGTTGCAAGCGAGGTCAAGTCAAACCCAAAGGCGTTTTACCGCTATGCAAAGTCGAAATTGAAAACGTGAGTAGCAGTATCAGACCTGAGGCTTGTGGATGGTAGTTATGCAGATTCTGACCAGGATAAAGCTGAAGCATTAAACAGCTTATTTTCCTCGGTGTTCACAAGAGAGGATGCAATTAACCTTCCTGCGTTTGAGGACAGAGGGCAAACTTTTTCGGAGTGAGAGTTGTGAACTCTTGGAACAATCTGCCAGAAAGTGTTGTGACTGCACTGAGTGTGAGCTCTTTCAAGACCAGACTTGACCTACTCTGGAGCAGGTTCAGGTCCATTCAGGAGCCGGTGCATGCCCATTACCTGCCAACAGTGCGTAACAGAGAGCCAGTACATGATAAGTACAGTGGTCGCTCGGTTAACGAACGCCTCGGTTAACCAAATTTCGGTTAATGAATTACCTTCCATAAGAATCTTCACTTCGGTTAACGAAAAAATTTTGGTTAATGAATTCCTTACAAATTTTTCCCAACATGTTTTTGCCTGCTCACCAGCTGTAGTATTAGTCCCCCAATACAGTAATCTGGTTTAGGGCTTAAATTCATTACCATTTGAGTAAATATCAAGAAGGTTGTACTATTCAATAATTTTCAAGTCTTATATTAAAATTTTTAGTAATTTTAACAATTATTTAACATAAATGAAGTACAGAGACCTTGTTTTTATCGTGCCAAACAGCCACTTGACTCACCCAGAATGGCGTCAGTTTGTGTCCCTGCTCAGTGGAGGAAGCATCTTGCTTGAGACTCTCTTGAACATAAACTATTTTTACGTTTTTACAGTACGTACAATTATTGGTCATTCTGAAGTTTATTTTACATATTGACAATATATAATGCAGTGCAGTGTTGATTTAAAGAAAATAATCTTGAATTACACCAAGTGAACTAAAATTTTATGGGTGACTTCTCTTCCACCCCAATGCCTTCTCTTCTCCCTTCTCCTCCACCCCCATTCTAATTCCCATCAACATCATCATCATCAACCAGGAGCCTTCTACATGCACACCTCAAAGTGTACTTTACTGCATTTATTTTTAGTTTGTATGTAATTTTCGGTGAGCTGGAACCAATTACCCAAAATCCCGTTGAATCAATGGTTTCGGCAAACAAAATTTTCGGTTAACGAACGACCTTCTGGAACGAATTGTGTTCGTTAATCGAGGGACCACTGTACTTGCCAACAGTGCGTGACAGAGACGTGACCGATCGCCCAAGCGGCTAACGAGCTGATCAGTGGTGAAGAGGATAAAAATATAGTTAAAAAAGTATATAATTTCTTGTTAAAGCAAGAGCAGGTCCAGATAATTGTAAGCTAGGGGAGGCAGTCATACATTGTGAAGTGCTGAAGGGGATTATACAGGAGGAAGTATATATCCCCCTCCCAGACAGGAACTTGTTGAGAAATTGGTGATAATTATTGCTTTTTGGTCATGGTTTTGGCCTGTTAATTGTTTGATTTTCTTTTTTTATGCTGCATTTGAAATTTTTAATGAAAAACTCAGAAAATTCACAAATGCTTAGCCAGGATTTGCTTGGACAGGGGAGGTGGTCCCCAAATATATACAGTACAGTATTTGAAATTTTTATTTTTTTTATTTTATGCTGTGGTCCTATTTCATTTAGACTCTGTAAATGAGAGATAGATCCTAAAATTTCATTTCATACTCAATGTCAGACAAACAGTCCAGTTTCCTCATTAGGTATACCAATAGAAGCAGCAATGAATTGAAGCCAGTTAATGAAAATACTGTACAGTGTTATAGAGTGGTTGGAGGTCTTGTGCTCTGAAATTGGGCAGTGAGAGGAGATATGGTTCAGAGGTAACCATCATAGTCTTGTGATCTTTCTTTAATGACAACAACATTTTATTCAGAAATCCAAATATTTTAGAAATAAGTCCAGTTATGTAATGGGAGGACAAGTCACTGGTAGAGTTGTAATTGCCGTTACATTGTGGTAAATAGATTATATTTATTACACGACCATTCACTCAGCCCGGATTGTAAATTTGGATTTTACGACCAGCTCAACGTTTTGTCGACTCAGGAATCAGAATTTCCCTTTTATATTTTTTGTTATTACAGTATGAGTTTTTTGTTACCATTGACACTGTAAATCTTTCATAACAGCTCTGCTCTTTTACACTTAGTGCATTTATTATTTTTTTTCATATTTGCCACTAATCAGCTTACTAGCCGTTTGGGCAGTCTCTCCAGTGTTAGTACAGGAGGAAACCGGGGACCAGGAAACCTGTGGTGTTTGGTTGTGAGGGTCACACTGGATAACACTCTTCTCACCTACTGGTAGTAGGCAGCTACCAAACAGGGAGGGACTACCTCCTGGGAAGATATTGGTGGACCCTGCTGCCATATGGCATCACGAAAATTGTATCCAAGTCCTAAAAAAAAAACTCAGGTGTGTCTGGTTCGAAGCTCGAACCCTCGACATATTGGTGAGAGTTATGCTTGTTACCACTGTTCTTCATAACTTTAACTGTATAGTATACTTGAGTGACATAGTTGTCTCTCCTGGATTAGATACACATCCAACAAAATTTATGGTTATTGAGACGCCGTGAGGAAAACGTAAACAAATATAATTAATCTCTACCTATGTAGAGTATCAATACAGTAGTTGAAATTAATTTCACGTAAATTTAAGACATGAAGAGAGAGTGTGTGTGTGTGTGTGTGTGTGTGTGTGTGTGTGTGTGTGTGTGTGTGTGTGTGTGTGTGTGTGTGTGTGTGTGTGCGTGTGTGCGTGTGTGCATGTGCAAGCGCTTGAATTAGTGAGATAAATTGTATATATTTTCAGAGCTCTTATTGGCTTGGGAGAAATTCAGAAGATTGGCATCAGAGCATCATCAACCCCTGTGTAGCAGACGCTAGTCTCTTTGAAGAGGATCCTCAAGGGATTCCAGCTGGTGTGCAGGTTGAAGGTCTCACGAAGGTTAAGAATTTGTAATTTTTGACAGCTGAAAGTTGTGTGTTTTTAGAGACATCATTTATAAATGAAGGAGTTGTCCTAACACAGTTGAGTTACATATAGTATGACTTGATGTAGTGTTTTTGATATACTGTACAGTGCTGTAGCATAGGTAGAAGGTGTAGGTTAGACAAACGACAATAAGAATATCCAATATTACAGGTCTTCCCACGTGGGCGGAATGTTGCTGTTAACAATATGTTCTTGAACATGTATGATGGGCAGATTACAGTGTTGCTGGGACATAATGGGGCTGGCAAAACCACAACAATGTCTATGCTGACAGGTAAGACTTGATTTACTCACAAACTATTTAGAAATGCAAAATATACAGTTCTGTAATACATAGATTTAGGTATAATATTCAGTCACAGTGCAGTAATTTCCATGTGGTAAAGGGTGAGATTTGTGTTATTCTGGTACAGGTTAAAAACAATAAATACTGTACTAGTTCCAAGAGAGATCTGTCTTCTAGGACTGAGACCTTTACAAGTCAAGACCGAGACCATTTGCAATTGTATTATTTATGGATAACCTGAAGATTAACTCCCTGGTAATGTGGATCAATGCTTGGCAGATTCATAGAGACAGTTGTAACTTATTAAGATTATAATATGTTTAGATATGTAAGCAGCTTACATGTACAGTAGACTAAATAATATTTTATAGTTGTTAAGCATTTTGTATATATTTTATTTGTGCTGCTGTTAACAGGTCTGTACCCACCAACGTCTGGTACTGCGCGTGTTGGAGGATATGACATAGTGTCACAGATGGTGGAGGTGCGCCATTCACTGGGGTTATGTCCACAACATGATGTCCTGTTTGATGAGCTGACTGTTGCTGAACACATCAAATTTTTTAGCAAGGTTAGATGTACATAGATCTTTTGTTGATTAATGTAATTTTTACTTGATTTATGTGACAGTAACTACAATATTTAAAGCATACACCTTCTTCACTATACTGTATATGCCACTGGCAGTATTCAAAGGAAATGATAGAAACATAATTTTCATATTTTGCCTCATTGTCATAAATCTGCTTGAAGACACAACAAATGAAACTTTGAAAATCTTGTTTAATAATTCTACATGACTTGGACTTCATTATGGAAATTTAAGACGTGAAGATTGTTAAGAGAATGAAAATTGTATTCATTAACTTTTACGCCCCGAGTGACGTTTTAAGACGCCCGACTGGCGCTCCCCGGGTGACGTACCAAGAAGCGCGCCTATTCCCGTCACTGTTTAAATGCCTAGTGCGGGTTATCAGGTTCCAGTGTGACTGTTTGCCTGTCACGCCACACGCTCGGCCACAGGGAAGCTTCCTGAATGTTAATTACCTACTTTTATTTGTTTCATTTTCATTGTTAGTCCATTTTATCATGTTGTATCAAAGTAATATTGCTAAAAGTAGTGTAGTTGTATTGTAATGTAGTATTACTGGAAAATAATGCTATGATTATGTTATTCAGTAAATGTATTAATTTGTGGAATTATTATTATTTTATTCATTATTTGCTCTACCAAACACAAAGACGGCTAGTCAGCCTGGCGACCGTCAAGTGTGTGTTGCCAAGTTTTATGAAAAATAATGCAAATAAAATATTCTAAATGAATTATTTATAGCAAATAAGTATTATGATTAGTAAATATTTGCATTACTGGCCATGTCGGACACAAAAGACAAGCTAAAAATAGGTGATAAGTGTGAAGGTGACCACGAGCATCAGCTGTCAAAAACAACACTGTCCCCTTATCTCCCTCCCTCCCTCAGTGTTGCCAGGGAAGTTTCTAGAGGGTCAATATATAGTTTTTCTTACTTATTTTTTATTGTTTTATCATTTAAAAAGGTTAAAAATGAATTTTTGGAAAAGTTTTGATTTTTCTCGATGGGGGGTCCTGCCAGCGGCACCCTAGCCCTGGGCTTAAAGGTTAAGTATATTCAGTAAGAGACTAGAAGAATATAGACAATAAGAATGGGAATATGTGTGACCTGAGTGGGGTTATAACCAGGAAACAGCACATGGCTAGTAAGGTAAAGAACTATTTCATTTAGTGGTGACCAAAGATCTGCAGCCCAGTGTGCGTGCGTGCGTGCGGGCGTGCGTGTCTGTGTCTGTGTGTGTGTGTGTGTGTGTGTGTGTGTGTGTGTGTGTGTGTGTGTGTGTGTGTGTGTGTGCGTGCGTGCATGCATGCGTGCGTGCGTGCGTGCGTTAATATTTAATTGTTTTATTATTTTTATTATTTAATGCATTGGTCCCTCATAATGGTTTGAGATTTAGGACAAAATTGGGTTGTAAAAGAATGGAATTATGCATCAACAAAGTAACTTTCTAATGGGAAATAAGGTATTAAGTTTTTGGTGCCTTTAAAACATATAGTACTGTATGATCCTAACCTAAAAGTGATTTTTTAAACAAATGCACCATACTGTACTGTATAATTACATGCTTTTAGGTCAGTAAATATTCACAGTCAGTATAGAATAGTAAGATTTCTTGCACACAAGTAAATTCAGCTTATAACATGATGAATGGGCATATATCTTACTTTTTAAATGGAGTCTTTTTCTAGTTTTCTTACTTACTGCAACATCCAAAGGTTCCATAGATTGCCATGGAACTATTATAATACAGGTACATCCATACTTACATACATACATGCATAAATACATACATACATAGTGTTATGGAAACTGATCAATCAAGAAGGCAAATGTCTTAAGTTCCTTTATTTTAACTTTTACTTTTATTTTAATCTCAAAATTTAAATGATTCCTTAACCTGTGTGTCTTGGGTCTTTTTGGTTGAATTTATTTAGTTATAATACCTTGTAATACTCATGCCCAATTATGTGACAAATGACAATCTGTTTGTATTGTAAACTGTTCTAGTTATGTTTTACTGTAGGTTTAGTTATTACAGCATTACTTGGCTTAATTGAATATTTGATACCACACTCATAGTTGACATGACAGCACCCAACACAGTATAAGTAAGAGGACAGGAAAAATATGCAAGTGATTTTTAAATAATATTCTTAAAACAAAATCAACACAAAACACATATACAAAGGTGAAAAATATTAGACTCAGCTGAACTAATACACGTTACAAATAGCTGGCCAGTAGATTCTGTGGTGCCCAGGTAGTGCCGGTAACAGTGGGTCACTCCACGACAGAGCAAACAGGGAGAACAGGAGCCGATGATGGTGAGAGTAGAACCGACATTGACTCCCCAGTCAGAGTAGACATCACCTGTCATAGATGGCGCCCCTAACAGCCGGCGATGGTTTTTCACCAATCAGGAGCCATCTCTTGACTCGTGTTCTTACTAGTTGCCTGAAGGTTGACTAGTGGTTTGGGTCGTGTGGAATAACCCGTGCAGATAAAGGTGATAATACAGTGTATTTACTACATGGAAGTGTGACCCTTCTATGTTACAATACATACATACAGAGAAGGGTGGTGACTGACACTTGTTTCTTCCTCCTGGTCAGCTTACAAATCTATCCAAGATGGCTAGCAGAAGATTTTATCTATTTTCTCACCACAAAATTTCTTGAATGTGTAGAAAACTCTAGTGCTTATCTAAATAAGGATACACATTATTATTTTTAATGCTTGTGAATTGTTAATTAGGGGATCAAAGTAACTATTCTAATATTATATTACATGAACATTGTTTTTATTTTTTTACTGTTACCTAACTATAATTATATGTATTTTTTCCACAGTTAAAAGGATTGTCTAATGCTAAAGCAGAGGCAGAAGTTAGTAGCATTTTAGAGAAGCTTAAACTGCAAGACAAAATAGATGCCACGGTAAGTTTAAATCTGATGTTGACGTAAAAATTTTCTTCTCTCTTATTAAAGTGAAAATTTTCCTGGAGGATGGCCATTTACCACCTCTTAGGCATCTATTCACCTTCAGTTAATAGTTGATGAATTGAATCTATGGACATGAAGTTTACTGAGACTATTATTCTCTGAACCAAGACTCAGTGGTGGAATGTTCATTGTGTGAGCAAAGGTCCTGAGTTCTCGTCCTGTACTGTACGGAGACCTGGTGTAACCCATTACAGGGGGTCCCCGGGTGATGAACGGGTTCTGTTCCGGAGGACATTCTTAATTTGGATTTGTACGTAGGTCGGAACACTTGCTATGTGCATTCTGTACTTACAGAACAATGTTTAAAATCCCACTACAGTGGTCCCTCGATTAACGAAATTTCGGTTTGCGAATTAGCTCCCATAAGGATTTTCAGCACCATTAATGAACAAAACACGCTTTGTTGTGTGCATCAGCCAATCAGCTATACAGTAATATGTGCTATGTTTACATTCGTTTCCAGTGGAGTAAATATCAAGAAAGTTGTGCTCTTGAATATTTTGCATTTTTAATACTAAAATTACAGGGTATTGATCATTCAAAAATTTAGCCATCCAAGCTCTGTCTACAGAAAGTTTTCAACTAATATTTTTGGTTCGATATATGTAACTTTATTAATTTATTTTTACTCATTTGCATGCACACACTGCCCTAAGGGCAAAGCTGTACTGTACATGTACTAAATGATTACTAAGATTTTTATCTAGTGCATACTATAGCATGTTTATATTCAAATTGATCACTATCATATAAGAATTCCAGCAATGTAAGTTATATTCTCCCAGGTCACTTCTATGAAATTTTATAAGCAAAAAACAAAAACTCAATCTAAAGGACAAATAAACAAATAAATACAGTATAGTCTCGATTTACGTGGATTTCCTTTACGCGTTTGGTCATTTACGTGGCACCTGGCCAGACCGGCAATTATTAGTTATGCGGTACATTCCATCATTTACCCAGGAAGCGGCACGGGCAGGGTGCGCACAAGGTCGCCCAGTCAACATAACATTACCGAGTTCTTCACCCACCACAGCTAGCTCAAGTCAGTGATAGTGAGGATATGGACTTTGAGGGGTTTAACAGAGAGGCCCTGCAAGCCTCTGTGGTGGATAGTGATACAGGTGATACAAGTGATACAGGTGAGAGCCAATAATCTGCCCTCTGCCTTTAAACCAACCCCCCATCCCCGTGTGCCCAGCCATCTCTTCTACTAACGTAAGTGTTAAAAAACCTAATATTATTGATATTTCTCTTAAATATTAATTGTGTGTTCGTACCATCATAAAATTAAGATGTTATTTTTACTACAACATGCGTATTGTGTCGGAAAAAGGGTAGTCTGGCGGTCGGCCCAGTCTCTATTTCAATTAATCCCATATGTTCTGTTATTTCGTTTACGCGTTCCTCGTTTTACGCTGACCTCCACGGGTTTAATTGACCACGTAAATCAAGACTATGCTGTACTTCACCAGACCTTTAGCACCAAACCCAGGGAGGGTTTGGTGTTTTAGGCTTTAAGTTTTTATTTTATATAATATCACAGACTAAAGTTAGGAGAATATAATTTGCATTGCTGTAAATCTACCCAAAAATAAAGTAGAAGTTTTTTTTATAAAATGTACTACAGTATTGTACACTAATGTACTACATTTTTTGTATCTTGAGCAAAATATATGATGCTTATATTCAAATTAATCTCTGTCTTCCAAGGATTTCAGCAATGCAAATTATATTATCCTAACTTTTGTCTGAGATATTATATAAAATAAAGAAATCACCAATCTTTTATCTTGAACATGAGGGTGGTGGTAAGACGGTGGGGGGGGAGGGGGGGGGAGGTGACAGAATGTCTGGCATTTGTTTGTTTATTTATTTGAGATAAGATTTGACAGTTGGCGCTGAAGGCCTGCCTGCGTGTTTATTTATCATTACTTAAGAGTGACTAAGCTCTTCTCATAATTTTCCACCCAAACGACCTGGGTGAATATAACTTACATTGGAGGGATTCTTGTAAGATAGTAATTTATTTGAATGTTTTTTTTTTTCAATTTAAATTTTAATTGTTTATTCCTTGATAGAGGAAGCGGGATCCTAGTGCTGTCACTTGGTACCCCTGTACCATAACACCAGAAGCAACTGGCCAGTGTCACAAGTATATAGTACAGTACAGTCATCCCTTGGTTATCGCGCCTAATTGGGACCCCGCCGATAACGAAAGTACAGAACCTATGGGATTTATTCTAATTGGTTCCAGGCACCCAAGACCCAACCCCAAGTTTCCCATTTTACGACCATTTATACCCACTAAATATATATATAATGTTATGGTAAATATCATAAACACACATAGGCATGGCTAGGTTTATTACAAAGTGATGAAAAGGGTACGCTTAATACTGTAGTCCACAAAACATGTAGCTATGCTTTTTTTATTTGGTCCCCCGTCATACGAGTCCGTTTTCTCTCACATCAGGACGCCTGAGTCCTCCGTTTTCTCTCTTAATCTTAGAGTGCACCAGAAACTTTACTATTTTTAGTAATGCCACAGAATTTGAAATTGCAACCCCAATTGCAACTTGCAATTGTTGAGGCAACTAGATATGTCTGATTACAGCAAATGTGTTATTGTCAATTTGTAGGTGAAAGATTTTATCCTCAATAGATGTAGGTTAACATTTCACCTGTAGGCAAATGCTTAAAAAAAGCCTAAGTAAGGAAGCATATTCCTTTAACACATAATATCTGACCAGTATGGGGAGGATCATCGTGTCTCCGTCAGGGGGTCGTGGAGTGGTGGTCCAGCAGGCGTCACATTTTTTGGGGGCCATGGGCGTGATATGCGATCGATCGCTGTTCGTCGTGGTCGTAACCGCGCTGGACTGATATATATATATATATATATATATATATATATATATATATATATATATATATATATATATATATATATATAATAATAAAGTTGGAACTTAACGACATAAACCAGAGGGCAAACAAAACAACAGAACATAGGGAAATTCGAAACCCCACAAACCCACTTTTGAAAAATAACTATGTAGTAAAAATAACATCTAATTTATATGTACATCACAAATTAATACTTAAGAAATAGAAATACAGTCGCTTAATGTCCATTCCAATAATGGACCAACTCCTCCCCTCACACACACCGGCTTTCCTAGAAATTTTGGGGAAACCACTAAATTTTAATAAATAATACCTCAAACTAGTTAAGATAATACAATTGACATTGCTGACTTTGTAAGACCAGGAATATTTTGAATATAAATGTCATATATTTTGCACAAAAGATAACATACTTACTCAGATTAAAAATTTTATCTAAAATTTGTATGTCTAATGCAAAATATATGATGTTTATATTCAAAATGATCACAAATTATAAGAATTCCAGCAATGTAAATTATATTCTGACCGGTAATTTGTATGAATTTTATGAGCTAAAACAAATATCTTAAGTTAATAAAAAAATATAATCTTCAGGACACTATCTGTCAATCAGTACCCCACCCTCCTTCCACCGGTCAGTCCTAACCTCCCACCCCAACAATCGTCCTCAAGAGATGTGGGTGAAAAATAAATTTTAACATTTTGTATTAAATAATACCAGATTAGTTAGGATAATATAATTGACATTGCTGGATTCCTTTGAACCAGGAATATTTTGAATAAATGTCATATATTTTGCACAAAAGATAACATAGTTACTCAGATTAAAATTTTATCTAAAATTTGTATGTCTAATGCAAAATATATGATGTTTATATTCAAAATGATCATCAAATTATAAGAATTCCAGCAATGTAAATTATATTCTGACCGGTAATTTTATGAATTTTATGAGCTAAAACAATATTTCAGTTAATAAAAAAAATTTTCATAGGTACAGATGGTCGGCTTCCTCCATCCCCACCAACGCCCAAGGAGATGGGTGGGAAAACCAGAATACTTAACTTTGTTTTAATAAATAATACCTCAAACTAAAGTTAGATAATATAATTGACATTAAGGATTCTTGTAAGACCAGGAATATTTTGAATATAAATGTATATATATTTTGCACAAAAGATAACATATTTACTAATATATATATATATATATATATATATATATATATATATATATATATATATATATATATATATATATATATATATATATATATATATATATATATATATATATATATATATATATATATATATATACACACACACACACACACAGTATATTCTAGCTGCTTTTATCATATACGCGTGCTCGCCAGAGCTGAACTTTCACTTAACACGATTTTTCATCATATCGGGTGAGTGTCCGCTCGAGACGCTATTTTAAATTGCCCCATTCGCCACCCTGCCTGACTGCCTGTTTTAGCTCATAAAATTCATACAAATTACCGGCCAGAATAATTTACATTGCTGGAATTTTAATTTAGATTTTGAATATAAACATCATATATTTGCATTAGACATACAAATTTTAGATAACATTTTTCTGGGTAACTATGTTATCTTTTGTGCAAAATATATGACATTTATATTCAAAATATTCCTGGTCTTACAAGGAATCCAGCAATGTCAATTATATTATCCTAACTTTAGTTTGAGGTATTATTTATTAAAAAAGTTAAGAATTCTGGTTTTCCCACACATCTCTTGGGACGGTTGTTGGAGGGTGGGGGAGGAGGACCGACCGACCATCTGTTACCCTGTGAAGAATATTTTTTTTTTTATTAACTGAAGATATTTGTTTTAGCTCATAAAATTCATACAAATTACTCGGTCAGAATATAATTTACATTGCTGGAATTCTTATAATTTGATGATCATTTTGAATATAAACATCATATATTTTGCATTAGACATACAAAATTTTAGATAAAATTTTTAATCTGAGTAAGACTATGTTATCTTTTGTGCAAAATATATGACATTTATATTCAAAATATTCCTGGTCTTACAAGGAATCCAGCAATGTCATTATATTATCCTAACTTTAATGTGAGGTATTATTTAATACAAAATGTTAAAATTTTTTCACCCCACACTTTGAAGGGACGATTGGTGGGGGTGGGGAGGGTTGGGACTGACCGCAGAGTTGGAAGAGGGGAGGGCAGTGGGGTACTTTGATTGACAGATAGTGTCCTGAAGATTTTTTTTTTTTTATTAACTGAAGATATTTGTTTTAGCTCATAAAATTCATACAAATTACCGGTCAGAATATAATTTACATTGCTGGAATTCTTATAATTTGATGATCATTTTGAATATAAACATCATATATTTTGCATTAGACATACAAATTTTAGATAGAATTTTTAATCTGTAAGTATGTTATCTTTTGTGCAAAATATATGACATTTATATTCAAAATATTCCTGGTCTTACAAGGAACCAGCAATGTCAATTGTATTATCCTAACTTTAGTTTGAGGTATTATTTATTAAAATTTAGTGGTTTTCCCCAAAAATTTCTCAGAGAGGGAAGAGCCGGCAGTGTAGTGTGAGAGGGGAGGGGTTGTCCATTATTTGAATGGACATTAACTCATGCACTGTATTTCTATTTTAGTATTTATTGTGTGCATGTACCATCATAAAATTAAGATGTTATTTTTACTACAACATAGTTATGTGTCTTCAAAAAGTGGAGTTTGGGGTCGGGCTGGTTTCTATTGGAATTAATCCCATATGTTCTGTTGTTCACTTAACGTTGATTTCACTTAACACGACCCTCTGGGTTCTATTGACGCGTATTAACTAGAGTATATATATATATATATATATATATATATATATATATATATATATATATATATATATATATATATATATATATATATATATATATATATATATATATATATATATATATATATATATATATATATATATATATATATATATATATATATATATATATATACACACACACTATAGTGATTTAAGGGCGATTTAGGGGAACTTGATGAGTGTTTCTGACTTTATGCATTTTTGGCTTGACTTTGTATGTACTTTTCTGTGAGCTGGAACCAATTACACAATATTGTATCCTATTGAAAAAATGGATTCGGTTAACAAAATTTTCGGTTAACGAATGACTCTGTGGAACGAATTGTGTTCGTTAACCGAGGGACCACTGTATATACAAAAGATTCATTAGTGTTTATTACTGAATAGTTATTTGATTAAATTAATGTTTATATATGTGAAATGAACAATGCAATTCATTAATAATTTGTAGAATATTAAAACACACAAGAGGAGACAAGACGGCATTGTTTCCGTGAGTGACGATGGTTCTACATAAGAAACTGAAGAAAATAAGACCCTGGTTGTAGCTGTATGAATACCTGTATGTATGTTTTAAGTAATGTTATTTATTGTTAATAAATGGAAAACTAGGAGTAGCTAACCACTAATGGTAAAGAAATAAGGCGAGACGATTGGGAACGCCAACGTATGAACAGTAAGTGCGTACATGTGAATACATATCGTCAGTTCTCTACATATGAATATGAAAGCAACACTTATTTACTGTTCATATATGTTTTAAATAATATTTACTAATGTAAAACAAAAATTCTATCCACCAATGGTAGTAAAGTCTAAAAAATAAGGACAGCCAATGAATATTGTGAGAGTTTTTACTCAGATGACGAAGTCATCATCAGGTTCAACTCTGGCTGAAGCTATAGCTTTCCATAAAGCTGTTGCTGAAACTGAAGTTGATGGTTTAGGCCTTCGAATAATAAAGCTGTCGAAAGAACCTTGCACAGCTGCTTTCTTTTCTCATTATACATCTTTATGTAGAGGTCATTTGCATTTATTTAAATTTTAATGCTTTGTTCTGTTAATGGATCCACTTCAGAAAATATGTTCATTGCTTGCTCCATATAATATCCACAGACCTCTCACCTTTTTCATATCGTTTTAACACATCTAGTTTCTCAGCTAAGCTTATACACTTTCTATTAGCTTTTGAACCAACACTACCATCACTTGCTCTCTTGCTCATGTTGAATAGGGATGGAAAAATGATGTAAGAAACCTGAGAAAGTTTTTCTCCAGCTCCTGTTCCAGATGCGTGGAAACAAAAGGCCCGCCAAGCTCCGACTGTAGTTTACCACTCATTAGCCAGGTAGCTTCTTTGCACAAGGCGCTCTTCATTTTTTCACCGTAATTTATTTTTTTATACATATCAGGATTTAGTTATTATTTATATGAAAGTGTAATTTTATTTTATTTTTATTATATTTTGGTCGTAAATACGAATGAAACAAGGACGTAAATTGAATTGGGTCCTAAATTAACTAGGGTTTTAAATATGAAAAGTTGTTGGTCGAACTCTTGTTATTGGAGGCAATACAGGTTGACAACCCTTTATCCGAAATTCTGAAAACCGAAAGTTTTTTTTGTGGAGCAAAAAAATATTTTTTTTTTATTAACATGGATTAGCCCACCCAGGCATAGATCAGTGACCCACATCGGGGTCTGGGGGGCGAAAATGTAATAGTAATACTAATTATAATAATAATTATTCATAGTAAATAAAAATTTTAATTAAAAAATACACTAAAATAAAATAATAATAATAATAATAATAATAAAATATAATAATAAAATTTATAATAATAATGGCAAAGTATTACCCGCTTAGCAGCGCTTTTCCTTAACAGCGTTTTAGCATATCACAGCAGCGATTGCCTTGCCAAGCGAACTTTCATAGCAGCATTTTCATCTTATCACAGCAGTGAGTGTCAACAAAGAAATATTTTTGGGTCGCCCCCACCCGCCACCCTGCCTGACTGCCTGTTTTAGCTCATAAAATTCATACAAATTACCCAGCCAGAATATAATTTACATTGCTGGAATTCTTATAATTTGGTGATCATTTTGAATATAAACAACATATATTTTGCATTAAACATACAATTTTTAGATAAAAATATTTCTCTAGGTAACTATGTTATCTTTTGTCCAAAATATATGACATTTATATTCAAAATATTCCTGGTCTTACAAGGAATCCAGTAATGTCAATTATATTATCCTAACTTTAGTTTGAGGTATTATTTATTAAAATTTAGTGGTTATCCCACACATCTCCTTGGGACGGTTGGTGGGGGGTGGGGGGGAGGGAGGGACCGACCGACCACCGACCATCTGTTACCCTGTGAAGAATTATTTTTTTTTTTATTAACTGAAGATATTTGTTTTAGCTCATAAAATTCATACAAATTACCCGGTCTGAATATAATTTACATTGCTGGAATTCTTATAATTTGGTGATCATTTTGAATATAAACAACATATATTTTGCATTAAACATACAATTTTAGATAAAAATTGTTCTCTAGGTAATTATGTTATCTTTTGTCCAAAATATATGACATTTATATTCAAAATATTCCTGGTCTTACAAGGAATCCAGCAATGTCAATTATATTATCCTAACTTTAATCTGAGGTATTATTTAATACTAAATGTTAAAAACTCTTGAATGGAGGATTGGTGGGGGAGGGTTGGGACTGACCACGCGGTTGGAAGAGGGGGGGAAGGCAAGGTGGGGTACTTTGATTGACAGATAGTGTCGAAGAATATTTTTTTTTTTTTATTAACTGAAGATATTTGTTTTAGCTCATAAAATTCATACAAATTATCCGGCCAGAATATAATTTACATTGCTGGAATTCTTACAATTTGCTGATCATTTTGAATATAAACAACATATATTTTGCATTAAACATACAATTTTTAATAAAAATTGTTCTCTAGGTAATTATGTTATCTTTTGTGAAAAATATATGACATTTATATTCAAAATATTCCTGGTCTTACAAGGAATCCAGCAATGTCAATTATATTATCCTAACTTTAGTTTGAGGAATTATTTATTACTATACCTGGTTTTCCCCAAAAAATTTCTCAGAGGGAAGAGCCAGTGAGTGTAGTGTGAGAAGAGGGGGAGGGAGTTGAGTCCATTATTTGAATGGACATTAACTTGGCGACTGTATTTCTCTATTTCTCTTAAGTATTAATTGTGTGCATGTACCATCATAAAATTAAGATGTTATTTTTACTACAACATAGTTATTTGTCGTCAAAAAGTGGAGTTTGGGGGTCGGGCTGGGTTCTATTGGAATTAATCCCATATGTTCTGTTATTCACTTAAGCGGTTTTCACTTAACACGGGACCCTCTGGGTTCAATTGACCGCGTTAAGTGGGGTACAACTGTAATAACAATAATACTGTATTAATAAAATAATAATAATAATAATAATAAAGAAATACAAGAATGAAAAAAGATAAAAAGTGAGACACACGACCTAGACCTATGAATTATTATTATTATTATTATTATTATTGTTATTATTATAATTGTTATTATTATAATTGTTATTATTATAATTGTTATTATTATAATTGTTATTATTATAATTGTTATTATATTTTCGCCCCCCAGGCCCCAATGTGGGTCAGTGATTTGTGCCTGGGTGGGCTAATACACGGTAAAAAAAAAAGAAAAAAAAAAACCCTAACCATTCTGAAAACCGAAAAATTCCGAAATCCGAAATGTCTCTAGCCCCAAGGAATTCGGATAAGGGATTGTCAACCTGTACTGTAATTCTTTTACCCTCACTAGGCAAAGACACTATCTGGCGGAATGAAAAGAAAGCTCTCTGTTGGCATCGCTCTCTGTGGTGGAAGTCGTGTTGTCTTCCTGGATGAGCCCACATCTGGCATGGACCCAGGAGCTCGCAGACTCATCTGGGATTTACTTCAAGAAGAAAGATCCGGGCGCACCATCCTCCTCACGACACACTTCATGGAAGAAGCGGATCTTCTTGGAGATCGCATCGCAATAATGGCCAATGGTGTTGTCCAGTGTTGTGGTTCGTCATTGTTTTTAAAGAGGAAGTATGGTTAGTAAATGTGGACTTCATGTTTTTTTTTGTTTTTTGTATCATTTATGTCATACTTCATAGCATTGAGAGTAGGAGGGTCAGGGAAGGCAGAGACTGGGATGGATGAATCAAATTAAAAACTGGGCCCCAGAGAGATACAAAACCCTTAATGGATTGGTAAAAACAGCCTGAGAATGTTTAGAGTGTAGGACTGTGGTCGCCAACCCTCAGATATGTGGACGGTACTCTGATTGATTGAATGATAATGACTGATTTTATTTTGGTAGTATTCATGAGGTGAATATTCTGTATGATATTCCTGTCATTCAGTTAGAGCATTTCAGAGAAGTTTGCAAACTTATGATAAATTTCTGCTTGTGAATTAGAGCGTTAAGTGTGTGGGACTAAACCTGTAAGTGCAGTTAGTTCATTGTTTCTCCACCAGCCTTGTGATGGAGATGTCTCTCATAAAGGAAATATTGAAATTGGCTATTTCTCAATGTTCAACATGAAGTGAGTTGCACTGAGAATTATGATAAGAGTGCTATTAATTTAGTATAGATTCATTAGAAATGAAAATCACTGTCTCTGGTTTGAAGAACACTTAGCCTTTATGTTGAGAAATAGAATTTTAAGAATGGCAAATGTGAATAAGTGAATGAATCACAGAAATTGAAGAAGTGTGTACTGTGTGTCACTCTTGATTACAGCCTTCCAGCACAAAGCAAGAAAAGTCCAGTGAGAGAGATAAAAGGAAGAAGGTTATGTCAGTTCATGAGATACTTCTCTTCTGGTCCAGGTGCTGGATATTATCTATTCAACAAAAGACATTATTTATACAAGTTCTAACCGCCCAATGGGTGACTGTGGGATGAGACCCTTGCACTTAGGACTCGATTGCTCTTATTCGTTCAAAACCTGCAGAGTACAAATTACATATGTCACGTATGAGATAATTAAATCACTCGTACGTTCCTTCACTATTAACAACTATATATGATAAATTTGATTAGAGTGTGGTGTTAAACCATATAAAACTTACGTGTTTCGGGTCTAATGGAGGACTTATTAGCTCCCTGACTTAATAGCTCACTGGACGGCTAGAGACTATTTTCTGAACCCTACAGGGAGCGAGTTAGTCAGCCCCGAGGCTAGGGCCATCTGTTTCACATTTAACACCACAGCAAAGTTCGTTATAATCTCTCTCTCAAGTAAGAAAAAAAAGATCATTACAACTATCAGAAATATATTTTTTAGTTTTTGGATAGATGTTGAATATCATCATTGAGTTACTGGAAGTCTTATTTGTGCAGAAGCAGGATACCGTTTGATTATAGTGAAGGCGAAGGGCTGTGACGTCCATGCCATCACTGATGTTTTACAATCTCACATACCTGATGCTGAGCTGGACCAAAATGTTGGAGCAGAACTTTCCTATGTTCTTCCAAATGCTGATGTGGCGAAATTTGAAGCTTTGTTTCTTCAACTCGAGACTCAGAAAGAAGACTTGATGATCTCTAGCTATGGGGCGTCTCAGACCACAATGGATGAAGTTTTCTTATGTTAGTTTTGAGTTGTCTTTTATGCTATTTTCACAGAGAGGAATATGAATACAGTATATGGTGTGTGTGTCTGTCTGTGTTCAATAGATGTGCTTCGACAGAGTTGGGGAGGCAACAGATCCAGACATCATAGGCCACCTCCATAAAGTGATTCCATCGAGTCTGAAGAACAGAGCTAATAGTGCACTAGATGGTGTGGGTAAGGAGAATGGTCTGCTGCTGGACATAGAACAGGGAGACTCTCTTGAAGAAGTTCAAACTGACGACACACCTCAGGTTCAAGGTATGTGTGAGGAGATATATTTTATTTTATTTTTTTAAGTCTAACCTAAAGTTTTGTATTTTGATAGAGCTTTAGGTAAATATTTCAAGCTGCTCAAGATTTTAAGTTTTATTGTTATAAATGTGATGTTAATTATATATATATATATATATATATATATATATATATATATATATATATATATATATATATATATATATATATATATATATATATATATATATATATATATATATATATATAAATAAAAAAAAAAAAAAAAAAAAAAAAAAAAAAAAAAAAAAAAAAATAATTTATTTATTTTTTTTTTCCTAGTGTAACTTACCTTGAAGTTTGCAAGCTATGGCATAAGACCCTTGAGTCAGACTATATGAAGCTTAGGCTGTCTGACTTATCTAGAATTCGCCTATGTACAGTCAGTTTCATAATAACGCTGAATAGTTGTGTTCTTGTAAAACCTCAAGGTTTGCAAATTTACAATAGAAATAACAGGGCTTATGGAGAAAATAGGTTAGGTGCAGATTATCGAAATCGAAAAAATTTAGTAAGTTAAATCCAAGGATAGCACAGCCTAAATAAATGTTACATTCATATCTAATAATGAAATCATACAGTAAATGTTACACTTTACCTTGAAAAAATATGAAGATAACTTGGTCCCAGATCGTTTTTTCGTTTGATCTTCTATCTAAACACTTAGAAGCCATTCCATCTCCTCAAGTTCCTTTGGCCGTGATCTCACACTTTTGCTAGCACTCAAGGTTTTTCCAGCAATACAGCTTGCTTTAATCTTTGCTGCATTGTTTCTAATGGTGCGTAAAGTAGACTCCTTTGTTCCCGTTGAACGCACAATATCACATGTTCTTTCCTTATTTTCAAAACGCTTGACAACATCCAGCTTTTCTTCAAGTGTTATAGCCTTTCTTTTACGAACACCACCGGAAATGCGATCACCAGAACGCTTCCCGGAGATATTCTTCTTTTCCATAGTCACAAAATTGTAGAAACAGTAATAAAAAATCACTGAGGACGCTTAAAAACTTCCCACGTGTTTCAGACTGATCATGTGGTGTAAACAGAGCGCGCGGGTCTAAAACGCTATGTATTTTGTTTTTCTCTCTTATTTAAAATTTTACAATTTACATATACTGTACAGGTGTACTGTATACATAAATATTGCATAAATTATTTCTGCAATTCTTCACAAACAAAACACATAAATCAATTGAACATGTGATGTCGAACGTGAACTGTAAACACTGCATAGCCCCGCGCCAAGCCACAACAACCGTTCGAGTGGAATCGCGTTACAGCCAACGCCTTCGCGTTTTACAGATATTGTTCCTCTATTCATCAATCGCGTTAGAGCCAATTCGCATTGTCAAAACACGCATTATAGCAGAACTCACTGTAACCTCAACCTGGGGCCTTTTAACCATCAGTACACATTTATTGTGACAGATAAATCTTGAGTTGGAGTACAGTGGAGGCTACTAGCACTTATAATACCTATCTTGTTGAAACTCACAGGAAAAGTGTTCAGGACTACTGCTGTAGAGTAAAATACCTTGTGGTAACTCTAATAGCTGTAGTTATTAGGTACTGTACAGTGTAAATTAGCAGTCAACATATATCTAACTGTTACAGCAAAAGGGTTAATCAGCACTCACCACTCGGTACTAATCACAACGCACAATGCTTGTTATGGGACTGTATGTCTCTTGCTATACATTATGACTCCACAATCTGCATTTAATTTTTTATTTATTTTTTTGTACAGTTTTAAGTTGTGAATACCTATTACTGTATTGTATTCTATGCTGTTGATGTTTCAAATGTATGAAATAGTCAGCAAATAATAATAACAGATGTTAGTTGCTGCTGGATCTGGCTTGAACCTGGGAGTGACCAAGACTCTTCGTACTGTACACTAGTCACCCATATTATGTTTCAGATGGTATTAATGGAATGGTTTCATGCAGCACAGTAATAATTCTGCAAGAATTTCTCAGTTTTTGGTCAACTGTTTTCTTCAAATTAAAAAAAAAAAAATTGCAACACACTGATGCAGCTATAAAAGTTGTTATAACTCATTCCTGTTTAGAATAACTTGAATATTCCGGTTGAAACCAAAGGTTTAGGTTAGGTTAATCATTGAGTTGCCCCCAGTTGGCTTACTTGCTTTGCATGACATTGGATAATTTTTTATTCTTAAAAAAAAAAAAAACTTCTTTGCATAGGTTTGAGCATAATATAATTTTTAGTTTTACTTTTTAATTACTTTGTTTTAATGTGAGAGATACAGTATACAAATGTTAATGTGATAAAGTAGGCTGTAAGACAAGACATTTGCAGGTGCATTGTAAGCTTTGGAAGACAGGATTAGTTTGCATGATGTTAACCAGATGGCCACAACCATGTTTGTTATACTACATGAATACTACTACAGAAATTACATGTCTTAATTTTGCATGTTAGTTCTTCACTTACCTGGAATATAGTCATACGTTTTCTTTTAAGGATTATAAATATGTTGTGACAGAAAAAAGAAAAAAATACAATACCTGTACTTAATATATTGGATTTCTCTTTTCGTGTAATCTGTTAGACGGGGAGGTTTCACGTCTAACGGATCCTCGGTGCAACGGACTTTCATCTCTGCATATAGTTTGTTAGATTGAGGTTTCACATCTAATGGACCCTTGATATAACGGATTTTCTTCTCTCTGTAGTTCATTAAATAGAGGTTTTACTAAATGTTAAAGATCAAAATTAAGCATCACTACATTCCAGGTATTTGTGAGGCTACTAGTTAGTTAGTTACCTTTTGTCTTGTGTTTATATGTAGACAACATATTTTTTGTTTTACAATATACTATATGTTTCATCACTTAACCATTTTGACAAGTTAAAGGTGTGTTATGTCACTTGATAACTGTTGATACACACCACACAGGGAGAGCGGCGGCCACTTGGTTTAACGCAGCAATTCAACGTGTCACATTTGTCCTTGAGAATGGTAACAGTCGTCATACACTTATTGTTTAGAATTAGTCCTGCTGGCTAGAAGGATCTTTGCTACTGACTGCTTTTACTTTTCTTCTTCATTCATTTAATTTTATGGACTGGAATTTGGTAAATGACTGAGAGTGACCTTGTGTTATTTAACCCATTAACACTAGAATTCTTGTTTGTTTTAATTGATTAATTGATAAAAAGTTCTAGTTGTTGTTTGATATACTGTATACTGTAGTTGCTTGTCAGATTGATACTGATGGCAGAAGAAATTTTGAATGAAAGATTCTCTCTTTTCCTTTGAATTTTTTTTCTTGGAAATTTATATTCAGAATGATCAGGCAAATATATGCTAAGTTTTATGATGACACATACTGTACAGTGATAGCCAAAGGTCCAAGAACTATGTACAGTATCCTTTCCTTCATGTAATTGTTTGTAAATTAATTTATGCATGTTGTAGTTTTAAATTTGGTGAATAAATATTGTTTGGGTTTGTGACCGTATAAGATGAAGCTACAGTATTGTACCTCTCACCAGTAACTTGACCTCTAAAGAGTAGAAATTGAGTTTGTGAAAAGTATTGATTTTTTTTTCTTAAGGTGGAGGTCTCAGTGCTAAATAATGCAAGATTAATTTCTTTACTGTTTATCATACTTTTCATTTACCTGTATTGCACTTAGTTCCACCCTTATAATATGCTTCTGCAGTAGAAGCCACGGTAGTTGTCTATAACCTATAATTTTGGTATTTTATTTATATCATTGGTAATTTTACCTTTTCTCGTCATTTAGCAGAGGAAAGCATAGGACAAAACCTTTTTATACATGTACCTGTTTCTGAACATTATTTCCATTTATGGATCAGAATATATATACAGTATATATATATATATATATATATATATATATATATATATATATATATATATATATATATATATATATATATATATATATATATATATATATATATATATATATATATATATATATATATATATATATATATATATATATATATATATATATATATATATATATATATATATATATATATATATATATATATATATATATATATATATATATATATATATATATATATATATATATGTATTTATATGTATATATTATAAGCTATGTTTAGTATGGGTATGGTAGGACATAGTGAGTTCCTGTCATGGTATTAGAATGATAAGATATTTATTCACTGCACATTCAAGTTGAATTTTCAGGTGAGAATAATTTTTTTCATATCTTCCTCAACAGTTACATGTAGGATGCACTCACTGCACATAATGCTTAAATTTTTTTTATTTTATTAACTATTTTGTACACAAGAACCTGCCCTGACCTAACTGAACCTGAGCTAACCCAACTGACTCACAGAGTCAGGCAGCTACGATACCTTCCCTCCTCTCCCAGAGTCAGGAAGCTAGGACACCCTTTCTCCTTTCCCAGAGCCAGGCAGCTAGGATACCCTCTTTCTCTCTTGGATCTATGAAGTACAGTACAGGTGCTCCTCTACTCAAGAACGTTCAACTTACAAACTTTCAGAGATACAAACATCATCACTGAGGGGGGTTACCTGCCAGAACAGGTGTTTAATGTGGATGAGACTGGATTATTTTGAAGAAAATTCCAGATAGAACAAACATTACCTAAGAGGAGAAGAATGAGCCAGGTTTTAAGGCTGTATTAAAGGGTATAGCTGTAATAAGTATCCATAATGTTTTCATTTTTTACAATATGCTTGGTATCTACAAGAGTAAAGTTGGACTTACAAACAATTGGACTTACAAACAATTGGACTTACAAACAAGCCTCAGGAACGTAACTCGTTCGTAAGTAGAGGAGCACCTGTAGTTGACTAGAACTGAATTTCAAAATTGTGTATTGACTTTAAAATGGAAGATGGTAGACAGAAGCCTGGCACCAAGTATGCTAAATAAACAGTTTTGGCACTGTAACACCTCCTGTTACATGAGGGCAACTCTCACCTGATCTCACCCATCTGGTGTGTTGGAAGAGAATGGTGATGGGTACACCCAATATAGCATAATAGATTTACCAGAACCAGCCTCATGGTACAAAGACTAACCAGTCTCATGAGAGCCTCTGGGTTTGAGTTCCATTAGAAAATTTTAATTTCAGGTTAATCCTTCAATTTATGAATTTTTAAGTGTATTAGACAGGAATTTTACCGACACCAAATATTCAAGTATGACGAGCCTTCGGTATTCACATTTAAACTTCTCCTGGTAATCCCTGTAATGGTGCCACAATTTACTTTCCATTACATTATAATAATATTGCTTTGAAAATTAATGCTTTTACAAAAAAATCAAATTGCTTTGCATATTATAATGAATGCTCTTAGTTTGGCTAATTTAGTGAGTAGATTGGAGATATTCAATAAATGATTGTGTTTAATATTTTAGAATTTAATTGAAGGAAATTATAGAATAACTAAACTTGTACTGACAATCTTGTAGCTATATTAGCCAAACACTATTACCTTCAACATGCATGACAATATTTTAAAGCTGGTCCTTCGTTTGGGTGAAGGTGTAGGCTTAATATTATAATGCAGTCATCTGATATACTTGTGTTTAAACATACACAGTTTCCTGAAAGAGGTGTAGTGATGCTTCTAAGCTTCTTTGTGTGCATGTCAACACACCTGCATGATTTGTTAACTAGTGGTAAGTTATACTCTTACTCATTTGTTGCTACTTGAGGGTGCCTTGAAAGATGGGACCTCTCACATTATACACTTTTTTAGATTCTTTCCCTATTTGCATATGAGTTTGTTACCATAATACAATATATATATATATATATATATATATATATATATATATATATATATATATATATATATATATATATATATATATATATATATATATATATATATATATATATATATCATATATCATATATAATAAAAAACAAGATATGAGTTTGTTACCATAATACATATATATATATATATATATATATATATATATATATATATATATATATATATATATATATATATATATATATATATATATATATATATATATATATATATATATATATATATATATATACACACACCACTGATTTTCCGGCACCCTTCGTTCCAAAGCCTTGCCGGATTATCCAATTTGCCGGACCAAAAGAGGTCAGGTATTAATACTGTAGTTCAACAATACACCTCTGACCCACTAATTATGCACCTCCTGTGTCTCTAAAGCACCATGAACTGATAGAAACTTAAATTAAACTATGTGATGTTTATACTCAAATTAATCACAATATTTCAAGGATTCCAGCAAAGTAATTTATATTCTGCTAAGTCTAGTCAGCGACATTGTATAAGATAAAAACTTTAAGCCTAAACTGTACTCGCCCTGGCTGTGAGGAAGGGGGAGGGGTGGATGATGTGTTGACAGCTGTCAGGGAGGGGAGATCACAAAGTGGGTAGTTATCAAAACAGATGGAGTTTTAGTTTTCCCTTATAAAATGTTACTGAATTGTCTTGGCAGTATATAATTTGCATTGTTGTAATTCTTGTAAGAAAGCGATTAATTTGAGTATAAACATCCCGTAGTTTGCACTAGACATAAAATTTTTAGGAATTAACCCATTACAGGTTTACCCTTAGGACAATTATTTCTTTTACTTTTTTCACAATATACATTTAGGATGGTGTGTGCAAGTAAATGAGTAAAAATAAATGAAGAAAGTTACATATATCTTCCCCAAAATATGAGTTAAAAAAACTGTACACAAATATACTACACTAGACTAAAATTTCTATCTCTTGTGCAAACTATGTGATGTTTATACTCAAATTAATCACTATCTTACAAGGATTCCAGCAATTCAATTTATATTCTGCTAAATCTAGTCAGCTACAATTTATAAGATAAAAACTTTAAGTCTAAAAGTACCTTTACCCTGGCTGGGAGGGAGGGAGGGAGGGAAGTTAAGTGCCCTCTCATAATTTTGTCCGGACTAAAGGAGGTGCTGGACCATCAGTTGCCGGGTAATCGGTGGTGTTTATATATATATATATATATATATATATATATATATATATATATATATATATATATATATATATATATATATATATATATATATATATATATATATATATATATTCATTCATTCATTCATTCATTCATTATTCATTCATTCATTCATTCATTCATTCATTTATTTTATTTATTCATTTATTTATTTATTTATTTATTTATTTATAATAATGAGATTTGATCAAAAAGTTCTGTGACACATAGTTTATGCTACACTAAAGGTCAAATACTTAATCAAATATATCACCATCAAAGTTTTCCTGTGATTATGCACAGCGATTGAACCTCTCGTATGTTGAAGCACATTTAGTGAGGTTTTAACTCGGAGAACTGTACAATGTTGTGCTTGGCCAAGAATTCTGGTATGGTGAGTGTTGAGTGAGACAGCACATTGTCATGAGGTAACATCCACAAACCCATCATCCATTTTTTAGTGTGTTGCTGTTAGACTGCATCTCTTACATCTCTGAATGTACAAATGATCATCAGCAATTGAGGAACAAAATCATATCACACTAAACCTAATGAATTCAGTCCTGGAACTTTTTAATCAGACCTCGTGCATTATGTACTGTACATATTGGCCAGACACTAATGAGTACATTATATGTAGATTTTTTTATTTATTTATTTATTTTTTATCCAGTGAATTGTAGTTAAGATGATAATTAAATAATAAAATTGAATAAGATTTTGCACATCAGAAGTGATTTACAGACTAATCTACTACAGTACAGTAAAGTAAAGTATCTGTCAACCAAGAATCTACTTTAGAAAATAATCTGTCTTACAAAAGATTGGAGCAATCTAAATATGAAATTTATAAATACAGTACAGTTGTACCCCGCTTAACGCGGTTTCACTTAACGCGGTGCCTCACCTGAACTGAACTTTCACTTAATGCGGTTCATCTACTCTTATACGCGGGAAGCGGCGTGGGCACGATGCGCACAAGGTCGCCCAGTCATCAAAACATTACCGAGTTCTTCACCCGCCACCCACCACAGCCGGCCCAAGTCAGTGATAGTGATAATTATATTGAGGATATGGACTTATATGGACTTTGAGGGGTTTGACAAAGAGGCCCTGCAAGCCTCTGTGGTGGATAGTGATACAATTGATACAAGTGATACAGGTGAGGGCCAATAATCTGCCCTCTGCCTCGGAACCAACTCCCCATCCCCGTGTGCCCAGCCATCTTTTCTACTAATGTAAGTGTTAAAAAACCTAATATTATTGATATTTTTCTTAATTATTAATTGTGTGTGCATACCATCATAAAGTTAAGATAATATTTTCACTACAACATAGTTGTGTGTCGTCAAAAAGTGGAGTTTGGGGGTCGGGCCAGTCTCTATTGGAATTAATCCCATATGTTCTGTTGTTCACTTAACGCGGTTTTCACTTAACGCGGTACCCTGTGGGTTCAATTGACCGCGTTAAGCGGGGTACAACTGTATAGAATAATTTCCTCCTAATGTACAGTACAGTATTTAATTTTACATGAGAGTTAATGATGAGAAATTGGAGCATGAGGCAACAGACTCAGTAAGTGTGAGTGTGTGTGTTCTCCAGCTGATTTTGAGTACAGTAGTAAGTCATATGTTGATTGTAGGAGAATGATGACACATTAAAATCTTTTTTGTAAACTTATTATCATTGTGATGTTAGAGAAAAATGATGAAATGTAATGTGTAGATACAAGTATTTGCAGAAACTAATAATATAACCAAATTTACACATGTACTGTACTGTGATATATTATACGGGTTCCTTAGACACGTGTTCGTGATGGTAGCCACTTTAAGTAATAATCTGTATTACAAAAGCCCCTCAGTCCCAAACTTTGTGGTTGACAGATATTTTACTGCCATTAGTAATATATTCAGTATTTAATCAGGCAGTATTTCAATTATATTTAAATGATGAATTACGGAATAATAGAAAGATGTTCTCTGACTGACTGATGTCTGTGCTCCACATGCAACAGCTAAGGACGTGGCATCAAACCACATAAAACCATCAGTACCCAGCAGAGTTCCCCTGCAGAGGAACACTGGCTGTATCCTTCTCCTGCAGCAGTTCAGAGCAATGTTAGTCAAGAAGATCCTCTATACCTTCAGAAACCTTTTTCTCACCTTGGCTCAGGTATGTCTGATGCTAACACAATATGTATTTACAGCTCTGTAGTTTTGTCTTTGTTGTGTTGTTGTTTTAGATACCTCTACTGTAAAAGTTGTTTATACTGGTAAGTTTTCTTACACTGTTTATAGTCAAATATGCAGTAGCAAGTTACTAATGACTTTCATTTATGTTGTTTCCAGAATGTTATCCCAGTAGCCTTCTTGATCCTGGCTCTGGTTGTGGTCCAGACTCTCCCTGGAATTAATGATGCACCACCAGAAGTTCACTTTACACTTAATGTGAGTACAGTTCAGTGATATCCCCGTTAGCATGAACAATTGGTGCAGAGCACTTCCGGGGATGAGAGATCTCTGGCTAACCAGGCGATTTTTTCAAACCCGGAAAATCCCCCATCCTCGGAAATATTTCCGGGTACAGGTTGTACCTCTCTAGTCCGGCAACCTCGGGACCTGACCGGTGCCGGACCATGGAAATTCACCCTTTTCCTGGATAGATAGTGACTTGTGCTTATGCTTGGAAGCACTAGCACCACTTTCTCTTCGTCATGGTCTCTTTGAAGACATATTGAAGGGTTAAATGTCGTATAGTAGCTTCTCAAATTTCGCGAGTTTTTAATTCTTAACGTATTTTATTGGAACACAAAAAAATAAATAAATAAAAATTTTGACGGCGGAAACTTGAATTTTGACGGGTTTGAACGGCCCGCCAACGTGCAGACGATGTGCATAATCGTGTAAACAGCGTCATTTCTCTTATGTACAAAAGATTTATTATTGTTTATTACTGAATGTCTTTTTTATTGTGTGCAAAATGAGCAATACAATTCATTAATAATACGTAGAATATTCAAGCACACGAGGAAATGACACAGCATTGTTTTCGTTGATAACAAAACCAGTGACTGACTGGTTCTACATATAAAACTGAAGAAAATAAGACCTTGGTTGTAGCTGTAGTAAAATTAATATGGTTGTTTTAAGGAATGTTATTTAATGTTAATAAATGGAACAATAGAAGTAGCGAACGATAATGGTAAAGAAAAAGAGAGATCGCATGTGTAAGTGCGCATGCGCACACGTGAAAACATATCGTCATTACTTTACATAAGAATATGAAAGCAATACTTATTTACTGTTCATATATATTTTAATTAATGTTTCTGAATTTGTTTTTATTGAATTAATGTGTGTGTGTGCAAAATTAACAATACAATTTATTAATAATACGTGGAATATTAGAGGAGACAAGACGGCGGCCCGCATTGTTTCTGTTAAAGCTTACGAAACCAGTGACTGATTGGTTCTACATATAAAACTGAAGAAAATAAGACCCTGAGTTTAGCTGTAGTAAAATTAATGTAAAAAATGAATATGGTTGCTTGAAGTACCTGTAATGTTATTTAATGTTAATAAATGGAACAATATAAGTAGCTAACCATTAATGGTAAAAAAAAAAGTGAGACTGCTCGTATGTAAGTGCGCACATGTGAAAATATATCGTCATTACTCTACATAAGAATATGAAAGCAACACTTATTTACTGCTCATATATATTGAAGGGTTAAATGTTGTACTCTGTATTGACAAGCAGAGAGAGAGAGAGAGAGAGAGAGCAGCCGAACTGCCGGTAAACAAACCTTAATTTCCCGCGGCTTTTTTTTTAAGGGGATTAGCCCACCCGGGCATAGGTCACTGAACCCACATTGGGGCCTGAGGGGCAAAAATTTAATACTCCTGTAATAATAATAATAATTCAGATAAGTAAAAAAAAAAAACTGCCTATCTACCTATTGGACAAACTAAATCGTTCCGACCACGGGAGTCGGACCACAGAATGCCGGACTAAGAGAGGTACAACCTGTACGAAAAAAATTCCGAGTGTCTAAACTGTGCATCTTGCACAGACAAATTAGCCCACATCCTCATAATGTTTCTATGTGCTGGGAGTTTCAAGAGTCTAACTAAAAATCTATATGATATGGTCGTGAATGCAGCCGCGTGTTACAGCAAGGACTGGTATTTTCCACTCCCTTGAGCTGTGGGGATTAGTGGGTCTCGCAACTGACCTGACACAATTTTAAGGTGGAGGTAGGGTTGGGTATTAGTGGTCTCATATTACTGACCTTCTGATACAGTGTCAGGTCACTCATTGTCGGGTGGGGGATTAGTGGTCTAAGGACCTGAAGATGTCTTGAATAAACATGAAAGCTAAAATACAGTATTTTTATACTTATATCTAACACATTATATCCCTTCAACATTACATTACATAAGATTTTAAAATGTGGAGGAGAAAACAGAAAGGTGTGGGTGATGAGAGATGGAGTGGAAAGGAGTGGTAACATGCACCAGTGTTGCTAAGCCTAAGCTCCTCAACAGCTGATCTTTCAATTCACCACTCCATAAATTTATGTCATACAATATGGGGGTGTGTGGGTGGTGTTAGGGTCTCTCGGTGTGATGTGGTATGAATCAATAAATAAGCAATAGTGTATCATCAATGACAGTCGTTTGATGACTGTAGCATTTACATTTATAACTACACCGTACTATTCATCAAACCACTTTACAGTCATTAACAATACAATATTGTTTATTTATTATTCATTAATATACCCCAACACCACATCATACACACACACACACACAACATCTAGTTTACAGTCTTTTTGTGAGACACCTGAGTTGGAGGAGACAGGAAGCAGGCAGGAGAGGCAAGGTGCAGGCAGAGAGGCAAGGAGGCAAGGTGCAGGTAGGACTGCACTTCCCTTTTCACCAGTGATCAGCCTCTTATGGTGGATGTTTTATCAAGTAATATAAAATATTAAACACATTAAGCAAATTATTAAAGTAAACATGTCTTTATTAATTAATAAAAATAAAATAAAACATTTTACAATGGGAATGACAGGCATGGGGAGGAGTAGGGGAGAGGCAGGAACCTTTGGGGGTGTGCGGTCAGTCCTCCCTCCCTCCCCTTCCCAAACCTCCACGACGTGCACGACGCACGCACACGCACACAACAGAGAATTAAGACAACAACATCCAGTGTTCTGACCTCACTAGGCGGGCAAAGGTCACGGCAGGATTAGCTCCTGCGGATACTGGCTGATAAGGGCTAGCGCAGGTGTTTGGGTTCATGAAGCGAGCGGCCAAGCTGAATGGCCATGGATGAATTGAGAGGCCAAGGAAGAAATAGAGAGGGCCATGTTGGAGAACCTGGAAATTAAAAAGAAGAGACAGCAAAAAGAATGAAGGGGAAGTGGACAGGGAAAGCCAGTGTATGACGAAAATTCAAGCGAAAGTGGAAGGTTGTAAGGAGAGGAAGACCAAACTGGCAAGGAAGAAACACACCAAAGATACGCTAAACAATCTGACATCAGCAGCTAAGTGTACCAACTCGCCTGGAAGTCCCTTGATAGACGACCTGACGCAAGCACACAGCCAGGACAGGGGCCGGTGACAAGGAAGGCATAAAAACTTTTAATTGTTGGTGACTCACAGGTAAGGCACTTTGACAGAGCCTTTTTGTGGCAAAAACAAACAGGACAGAGGGTGTCACAGAGCTGGGATGGGGATATAGTTGACAGATGGACAATATCTTGTCTGCACGGGGAACAAACCCATTATCTGCCTCAGTGCAGGAGGCAATGATACATACGTGAGCCAGGAGCTTTTGATAAGTTCAAGGCAAAGCTATAGATCGACAAGACTAAGGGAGGGATCCCTATCATGCAGTGTCCTGCCCATGAGAGTTGGCAGTGAATGGGTTGTTGGAAGGGTAGTTGGTGTCAACCACCGGCCTTGACAGGATATTGCAAGTCAATATCAGTCCCATTCATTGGACAATTGGGGCAACTTTGACAGCAGAAGGGGACCCATAGGGATAGGGGTAACCTGTCTAGGGATGGAGGAACCTGGCTGGGGGCTCTAGAGGGGTAGTGCAAAAGATATTAGTTTTAAACCGGGTTAGGAGAACATACAGGCGAGAGCACGGGGTGGAGGAGACTGCAGGAGCGGGTAAACAAAGTGAAAGATTACAGGGAAATAGTGTTAGGGAATGATGGTGACAAAATCTAAATTTAGACAGGAGTTTAAAAACTAACGCGTAAGGGGGAGTGACTCAGAACACCACTAACTTAAAATGTATATACTACGCTAAATAGAAGTATGAGAAACAAATGGATGATATTAGGGCCTTGGTATGTACCGGGCGAATGATATAACAGTATTCACTGAAACATGGATTAATCTTGACTCACGTGAGTTACCGGGTCAATACCAAATTAGGGGTTGCTAAACTGATCCATGCCAATTTATAGGCAGACCAGGAAGAGACCTAGATTAGCAATCTATTTTAGGATAATCTGAAGCGGAAATAAATAAGGAAATAAAACTGAGCCGGAATACAGAAACACTTGGATAGAATTAATCGACGGTAGGAAAAATTAATCACAGGAGCAATATATAGACCCTCCCAATCTTGATAGAGTAAATGAGTGACTTATTTGTGATGAACACGAGGGCTTCCATACACAACAACAAAGTCTGTAGTAGTAGGAGACTTTAACTTTGAAGCCAAATAGATGGATTGACCTCATGGGTAACTCAGAATCAGAGGATTTTCGGTGACTTATCCAGGACTGTTTTTCTAAGTCAACATATAACCCAACCCACCCGGGTAATAATATACTTGATTTAGTCTCTTGCTCAAACAGAGAAACCTCTCATTATAATGTCGAGGTAGGGAAAACTAACTTTGCAAACAGCGTATCACAAAGAAATTAGATTCTAAAGTAGATTTTCAGGCAGATGTAAGGAAAATTCTTACCTAAAGTACCAGATTTCAAAGGCAAACTTTGACAGTTTAAAGAGGCAGCTGAGAGAGGGATGTTTCATGGCTGTGAACCTGACAGATGACACTTCACCTGATAATCTAGATCTGAGATCAGCTTTGAGTTCACCCACAATTTAAATAATGAGTTACTTAATGCACAAAGGCAGAACATACCATGGCTAAAAAACTCAGATCAGACAACAATGACCCTAAATGGATAAACAATTATTTAAAGAACATCATTGGCCAAAGGAAGGCTATAGGTAGAAGGATAAATCGTATGTAAATTTACCTCCGGGATTATTATAGGGTATTGGCGCAGTAGGGTTAAAACCGAGATAAGGAAAGCCACAAGAGGAATACGAGGTAAGGGATAGCAAGGAGGCGCAAGACAAACCCCAAAGGATTCTACCAAATGCATCAAACCAAAAACATCGGAGTG